AACCGGTATTTTGTTTCCATAATGCCTTTAAGAAATAAGCTTGGGAACGAAAATAATATTTTTGTTTCCATAATGCCTTTAAGAAATAATTCATACTTATTCCTTGTAATATATATATATATATATATATATATATATATATATATATATATATATATATATATATATATATATATATATATATATATATATATGTATATATATATATAATGAATCCTCCTAGTCGTATTCCATAAGTTTTTAGTCTGAGGATATCTTATGTGAATCTGGTTGAAATGCCTTCAAGAGCAAAATGTAATATGTCACTTTCAGAAAAGACAACCTACTCTTGCGTGTAGAAACACTGATATAGTCTATTTGACTAAGGTTATAATTATCAGGCTAACCTGTCCCAATCTGTAACCTACTTAACTATAGCTGGTTTGTGAGTTCATATATGTTAATATCATTCCAAAAATATTTATAAATTATAAATTATTTATGTACAATAGGTTTATATTTTATCATTTTCTTCTAATTTTTAAAAAAAAATTATGGTCATGTATGTTGGCTTGAGAAAGGAGTATTTGTTTTAAGAAAGAAGATATTTGAAAAATTCCAGTGGACAGTCTCTAAACATTTTGTTCAGACTTGAGACTCCAGAACTTTTCATCTAAGTAAATTATTTTCTGTTGTGTATAAAATCCTTTTTACATTCATAGGTTATATGAAAAATGGGATTTTATGTTTCAGCAAAGTGACATAAATCCTATAAAAGTCAGGGTCTGATTTTACATGATATTATGAACAGGACACTCATCTAAAGTGATAAAAAACATTTTTCAAATCTAATAAATATTCTAGATAGCGGAAGGTCTAATGAATACAAACCTGTAAAAAAAAAAAAAATTTATTTCCCCAAAAGATTTCCTTTATTTTATATGAGTGGACCAGTTTCCTTGAGTAGTGCCAATTTTAATGTGAAAACTTATATAAATAGTACAACTGACGTAGTTATTTTATATTTATGTCTATAGAGAGATAATGTTCCATTCACAAATGTTTTCAAGTTTTTCAGCCATTTTAAAACCTAAAGGTAATGCAGTGTTCATACTTAACATATCTCCTTATATATTATATTTATTAACTTATATCAAATATCATTGATGTATCTACATTTTGGGGGCCTTGAAGCTTGAACAGACATGGGTGCCCCTTCACAACCAACAACAATAGATTCGAGGATCCAACTACCAAAATGTAGATTTTGAATAGATTTGGGTGTGTTCAGCGAGCCTATACAGCTGGGGGCTCAGACACTTTGAAAGCTTTTAACTTAGATGAATTACAGGGGAAATTTGAGGCCATATGAAATGCATATTAAAGCATATTCAAAGGCCAACATTAGCTTACTTCAACCCATTGATTTATGATTCTATCATTAAAATGGCCTTATTTTAATAACAAGGACTTTAAAAAAACATTGATTTCATTGATAAATTCACTCATTAAAAAAAGTTGCTTCAGGTGTCACTCTGGGTTTAGCAGCTTCATTAGTTTCATAGATCTACCACTTTCTAAACTTATATCTGTTCTTTTTTTGTTTTGTTTTTAATCATTTCACTCCAAGCAAGGTAATAATGCCACTAAGATGCAAAGGGTTACTTAGAATGAAAGTGAATGAGAAGACTTTAGTGAGGAGAAAGGACAATAAAAGAACAGGAATCTGGAGGACAATTGAGGATTGGCAATGCATTTAAATTTTTGAAGATTGTAGTTAGTAGGGAAGCAAGAAACTGAAGTTGAGTTCCACAAGTAAGAAGTGCAATTATCTGCCTTTGGTCAAAATGAAATCACATGGGTCATGTGATGGCCACTTGATGATGTCAATTCATACAGTGATGAAAGTGGTAGTCAGTTACAATGAATCAAACCAAGCAGTTGCTTTTTTAGTTCAAGTCAAGTTAGCTGCTAAATCTATCTATCTCCTGTCAGCTCTTGTGTGGTGCAACTTACAATCAAATGGCACCATTTCCCTTTGGGAATATATCTTTCCCAGATAAAACAATCTCCAGCTCACAATTTGCAAAAAGCCCAGGACTTGCCATTTCCCATCTGTGGAATATGTCCTTGATATCAACATAGCAGACAAATCTGACCTGCTTAAATCTGGAATTATGGCTTCTCCAGAAACACAGAAGAATCTCCATATAATATATATAAGACCCAACCTTTTCTTTTTCTTTTTCATACTGCTTGTTCTGTAGACATATTGTAGCTTCTCTGCATAGGAGACATGAAAATATGTATATTTTTTTTTTTTAAGTTCACCCCAAGCAAGGTAGTAAAGCTACCATGATGCAAGGGGTTAGTGAATGTGGAAGAATTAGGAACAGAAACATTAATAATGAGCAAGAATAGAGGATGAGTAATCAGGAGGAAAGTAGATGGTGATTGATATTGCATTTAAATTTTTGTAGATTAAAGTTGGCTAGAAAGCATGGAACCGGGAGGAGTTCTACAAGCAAGATATATTAAAAATTGTTAGGATAGAACTCAGCTATAAATTGATGAGACCTTGTTTCCAGTTTAGTACTGGGCTTAAATTCAAAGAGTCAAGACATGCTACCTCATCTGAACAATTACCATTTATAGAAAAGGCAAAGGAAGGCAACCTTATGGCAGTTGGAAAGAGACTGAAGCCAAGACACCGAATTGGGGCCAATAATAGTGCTGATTCTCCTTTTGGATTTTATCAAGAAGCTCCAGATATATAGCAGGAGCACCAGACCATGTGTTGCAACAATATTCTAAGCCTGGACAGATGGTGGACTTTTTCTTGCCTTGAAGTCAGAAAGCTATAATCACTTGATGGACTCCTGTTTGCGTATGAACACTGTTTCTATTACAGTGGAGTAATGAATAGTGGCTCAAATTGAGGAATCAGAGAACCAAGTTTGAATTCCAGTTGAATACGTTGCATTCATTTACATGCTAATACCCTTGGGGAAAAGTATGAATCCTCTTCTTCTCCCACCAACCTATGCGGGGGAAAAACCTGCCTCATCAGTCATGTATTGAAAGATACATGATTGCCTAAGTGTGTATCATGCATGGCACATAACTGACTGATTATTGTCCTATAGTTGCTTTGACTCGTAATTCCATTGTTCATTGTATTATTTCTCTCTGTTCTTCTTATCTATCTTTATATATATATATATATATATATATATATAAAGTTGTAGCCTCTGTCTGTCTGATTGTTTATTGAACTCCTCCTAGGGTTTTGGGGATAGACTCCCATTTCTATATATATTCAGAAACTACATTACCCAGGGTACTCAGATAAGTATATTTTATTTTGTTCAAAGTGGGGTCACGGGGAGAGGCATAAATACCCCACTGAATTTTTTTTGCCCTTTGATTTAAATTAAATTTAAATTTGAACAAATGAATGACAAGATATAGGAGAAAGTCAGAAGATGGAGGTCCCATCAGCAAGATCATTAAGTAATAATGAAGTGCATCATTTTTCTCCACAAATTATAAAAAAAAAATGTGTATCATGCAGCAAGGCACAAGTAATTTGGCTAGTATATTAATACACTTGTAGCTATGTATGGGGTCTATCATACTTGGTATCACAGATACTAAGAGGGACATAAAGAGTAAAACAGAATGAGATAGAGGGATGTAGAGAGAGAAAAAGAGTTCAACACAGACAGAGATTGGAAGGGTGTCCTTTTAGATGAAGCCACTTGTTTGTAGTAAGAGGTTCTGTTGAGAACAAATTTATCCCTGAACTACAAGTGACCTTTTAAAATTAAAATCTTTCTTTTTTTTCTTTTTAAATCTTATCTACACAAATTTGCAACAGACTGAGAAAACCCAAACTGTGTTGGGTGTCTGAGGAGGGAAACAAAGAAAGCAATGATGGAGAAAGACAAAAAGAGAGTGTGACCCAGATAGGGATTGGATGGGAGTCATCTTAGATAAAGGCAGTTGTTTGCAGTGAGGGATTAAATCATGTTTTGTGAGCTTATGACCTGTTGAGGACATTTCAGTTTTTCCTTAGAGAAACTGTTTTCTTCTTTATGTGCCATGTCCCTCTGGACATAGGCGTTCATGGCTCTCCACAACTTTCTGTATCTTGTAGGTCATAATAAGCTTTGTCTTTGTTATAGAGTGATTTCACAGTGGAGGCTTGTATTTGTACTAAGTCGGTCCTAAAATAGGTTTGACGTACAAAATGTTAGGAACTTGATATAATAGGTATAATGCAGAGAAATCTAGTTGTGGTCGCTCATACTTTAGTATTTGACTAACTGTCATCCGACATCAACTCACTCACCGACCCACTGGGTGACTCCCACATTACTCTTACTACTCCTACTTAGTATAGGTGGGAGAGTCTATTAACTATAGAATAGGTGTGTTCCACTATAACAGTCTTTCTGTTATTTCTCCCAATTCCTACTCAAGCTTACTAAGTATGTTATGCATTCTTTTCTTTGTTCCTCTTGCCCTCTATCTGTCCCATGAGTATCAGATTTTCCAAGCCTTTCTTCCTCATCATGTGCCCCAGAAACCTCAACTCTCTTTTTCTGATGTTAAGTATTAGTTTCCTTTTTGTTTCCATTTTCTCCAAAATTTCATTTTTACTCATGTTCAGTCTACAGTATCCACAGCATCTTTCTGTAGAACAACCTTTCTGTTGCGTCAAATCTCTTCTTCATCTCTGAGGAGATCATCTCTTTTCTTATTAATATGTGGGAATGGTCATGGTTTTTGAAAGGTAAAGAGTGCAGTATTAAATAATTTATTAGTAAATCTCTGTAATTTACATGGATCCTGCTAGATTTTATTATTGAGGTTACTGAGAATTTTGTCAATTTCACTTAAAAATGCTTGCTTATTCAACAAAATCATGCATACATTTTAAGAGAAATATGCCCTCTGATTACATGTAAATAATCACTATATGTTATTTTTTCAACAGATTATAACAGACTCTGACGATGGCATCTAGACCAGGAGATACAAACAAGGGCAATAACTTGGCCCTGACTAATCCTACATGGAAAGGAGTTTTAGTAATCATTGGTAGTATAATTGTTGAATTTACTCTTGGATCCTCCTACACACTTGGTGAGTATCATTGTCATTAATGTATTGTGTCCCTTCAAGAAACACCTCTTTTTGAGGGGGACATGCCTATCACTATTCTGTTGCTATTTTCATGGCAAATGTTCAAATGAACTCAATTCTTTAATTACATCAGTTCAGACATTTACATCTAGGATATTCTATGACACTACCCCATGTTTCAAATGGAAGAAAAAAGTTCAACTCAGACAGCTTTCCCACCTGCCAAGAACTACAATTTTTTTGTTTGAATTTTGGTATGAGTATTATTATTATTTACATGCAAACTATTGTCCTCATTTTGCTGTTGTTATCACAATGTTTCGGCTGTTGTGTCCTCTGGTCTTCATCAAGTGTATAACAATCTGAGTAACCAACAGGAAATTTTAAACGATACCCTTTATTTAATGTACAGGAGTTGACACGGAAGTGGAATGAGAACAATCTACCCCATAGACTAAATAAGAAGTTAGGTAATAATTTCAGAGTTATTCATGTGATTACTTTTTAAAATAATTAACAGTAACAGCAATGATATTAATAATGATAAAGCACAGATATTCAGAGAACTTAAAATGATTATTTCATTACTTATATAATGCATCATTATACTTAAAATTATTGACCTGTTATGCAAACAATTACCAGTGCATTATTTAAACAAATTGGCTGTAAATAATCAACAGTACCTTTTTGCAGCTATCTATCACTTATTGCTGTTATGGAATGGTATGGTAATATTAGTTGTTTCCCTATAAGGAAACATTTGGTATTCCTTGACCAAGCAGCAGCCAGTCCTGTTTTCAGTTGAAATTGTGAAAATTTATAAAATCTTTCTCTTAAAATAATTTCTTAAGAAAACAGGTTTCTAAAATCCAGTAGCTATTATTACTTTTACCAGTATTGATGGGGGATTCCTTCATAACTATTTATATGAAATAGTGTTGAACGTCAACATTTTGATTGGCGTTATTTTCTCTTTGAGTTCGATGTGATATCCATTTTAGTTGTTGCTGCTGTTGGTAGTCCTCAAATGATGTGGTTTCTGTTATTTGGTACACTTCTTTGTTTGTGATTCTGTAGAACCAGTCCACAAGGTTCAAAGCAGGTTGTTATACTCTGCTTCAAATTAGACCTATTTCTGATTCACTCCAAGTTCACAAAAGTAAAATTAAAAGTAAAAAAAAATCACTCGCTGTACATGACATCTGGCTTACAAAAAAAATCCCCAAAAATATAAAATAAAATTTAAATGTCAGAGTAAATTGCAAATGGTGTCACTAAAGCAAAAGTATGACAAAGAGCATTGCTGACTGCTTAAAGGGACCCGCTCTGTGACACTGAATGTAGTAAACAGGTAGATCATGTTGTTCACCAGTGAGTTCTCGGTCAATCAACCTGATACAAACTTCAATTCCAGGCTGTACACAACCAAGCCTCCCACTTTTCAGGTCACTTCCCTCACTCACAAGACAGTCCGCTTCTCTGGTCTACAATTTCCTGTACTTTGTAGCCCTTAATAAAGTTTTTCTTTTTCCTATATCCCCTAATCTCTATTCTGCCATCCATTTACACAAGCTTAATAAATGAGGCTATGCATTGCTTTCCTCTGTCAATCTTACCTTCAATATATCCATTGAGTGTCATATTTTCCAAACTCTATGTGACATAGAAATTTCAACTATTCCTGATGTTTTGCATAAATGTCCTTTTTGTTTCCATTTTCTCTAAAACTTTGTCATTGCTCACATATTCAGTCCATTGTATTCTCAACCTTCATCTGTAGAACCACATTTCTGTTGCTTCAAATCTCTTCTTCATCTGTGATGAGATTGTCCAGCATTCATTGCCACATTTAAGCCCAAGAATAGGACAGGAACAGTGTGGTTTCATTAAAGACACTGGCAGAAGAAATGGTATATTTATCCACAGAATAATATCAGAAAGGACAATACAAATGCATTACACCCTGTAATAGCCTGTATATCCCTGCCCACAAATTCCAGTTCATTTCACTCTGGGATACAGCCATTAAGCCACATTGAACCTGTTATTACCTTAGATAAATAATGGACCATTCTGTTTTGATTATAAGGAAATATGGAAAAAAAATATATATCAAAGAAACTGTTTGGTTTTAGTGAGAAAAATAAAAATATATACAGAAAGAAAGAAATGGAAGATAGAGGAAACAATAACACTCTGTTGTGTTGAATGTCTGCTTCAATGAAAAGGAAAATTTCATCAGTTTAGAATCTTTTCATTTGTACCCTCTTCCTTCATTAAATAATGACTTGCATTCATATTTATGATTGTTATTACAATATTTTGTTGAAGATGTTAAGCTCAAATATTTAATGATGGGAATAATAAATAAGGGAATTTCTGTAGTTGTTGAACTCACGAGTTTATTGAATCTTTGAATTAAGAATTATAATTCATCAAAAAAAGTTAAATAGGAAAACCATGAAATTTTCATACATATTTCTATTATACACAAGTCTTTGTAATTTAATTCCTTTCTTTTTTTTCCTCTTTATTTTTCACTGTAGGTAATTTTTCTACATATATAATATCCTATATGCGTGTCCGAGGAATTTCTCCTGACATTCTCTATACCAGCAGCATTTGGATTTCCGCTTCCAATACAATTGCCACAGGATTCTTTATGTTTGTATCAGGATATCTTGAGAAATGTTTTGGTCCAAGAATTACTACACTGATTGCTGGATGGTTTTTCAGGTAAATAAAAAAGAAAGTCTTTTTTTTAAAGAGGCAAATGTTCAAAAGAAATTAAATAATTTAAATATAAAATATGATAAAAAATAGAAACGGTTAAATAATTAAAATTTCAAAAGCATAAATTTCATTTGAAAATTGTACTGAGAATTTTCCTTTAGAATTAATTTAATTCTATAAAAACCAACAAATTTATTAAAAATATGAGGAAAATAGAGAGGGAGAAAATATCTTCTTCTACATGACATGTCCCTTCAGAACATTATCGATCATGGCTCTCCACAACTTCCTTTCCTTTGGAGCTCTTAATAAGTTTTGTCTTTTTGTTATCACTCCTAAACCTTGTTCTGCCATCCATTTACTCAAATTAGGTTATGTGTTTTTTTACTTCTGCATCCCTTGCCTTCAATCTGTCCTGTGAGTATCAAATTTTCCAAACCCTCTTTCCTCATTATGTGCCAGATAAAACTTTAACTGTCTCTTTCTGATGTTAAGTATAAGTGATCGTTTGTTTCCATTTTCTTGAAAATTTCATTGTTGCTCAGATGTTCAGTCCATGGTATTCTCACCATCCTTCTATAGAACCACATTTTCATTGCTTCACATCTCTTTTTGTCTCTGAGGAGATTGTACAACATTCATTGCCATATAGAATGGCCAATATTACATAACAGCTCATTACTCTTTTCAGTGGTCAGGGCTGTTGCCAGGCCATTCCAATATAGTGACCTTCACTGCCATATAGGAGGACTGATGTTACATAATACTCCAGTCCTCTTTTCTTTGTTTCTACCAACATTTTCCTGTTTCTTAATACTTTGCTTAGCTTTTAGGAACACATTTTTTATTATCCCAATGTACCTTCAGATATCAGTGTCACGCTTTTCATCCTCTGTTAAAACACTTTTGAAGTCAGTTTGTGATGTAATGGAATAACCTGTCACTCCCATGAGTGACTACACTATAGGTAGTAACTACCTATAAGTATCTGTAACTCAACAGACTACAGAGACTAGCTGCAACCTGTTCCAGCTAAATAGTCGAACTCTCTGCCTTCGGGCAGAGAGGAACCCGGACAGGGCTCCATCGAAGGACAGAGTCTCGTTCGGAGAGGTAGATAACCCTGAACACGTTTATGCGGGTTCAAAAAGGGAATATTTTTGGCCAAGCATATGGGCTTGGAGAACCCACATTAAACCGGCCTTGTGCCAAATGCAACCCTCATGGGAGGGTAGCTAAATATTCTAGCTACAACCTGTTCCAGCTAAACAGTCGAACTCTCTGCCTCTGAGCAGAGAGAAACCTGGACGAGGCTCTGCCGAAGGGTAGAGTCTCATTCAGGGAGGTTGACCAAACCGATCACATTTATGTGGGTTCTATGGGCATTTTTTGGCCAAGCCTACAGGCTCGGAAGACCCACGTTAAACCCAGCCTTGTGCCACATCTATCCTCGAGGGGTGGGATGCTAGTAAATACTGACTAGCTGGAATCTGTTACTCAGCTCTTAGCTGCTGTCGAACTCTCTGCCTTCAGACAGGCTATGCCAAAGGGCACAGTCTCATCCAGTAAGGTAGACAGACCCGAACCCATTTATGCTGAGTTTACGTGGAATTTTTGGCATAGCCTACAGGTTCAGATTGCCCCACATTAAATTCGGCCTTGTGCCACATCTTAACTCATGGGGAGGTTAGTAAATATCACTAGCTGGGATCTGTTGAGTATGACTCAGTCTTATGCGAGAACTACTGACCTTCCAATAGTAACACTCCACTACTGGATTGAGTTGCAACGACCGTGTGCATAACTGTTACCTTTATTTTATTGTACTGGTTTGTTACAATAAACCTTATTGCATCCACCTTGTTTTTTCAAGTATATATTCCTATTAGCACAAAATATAACAGTTTGTAAGCAAAAACTTCCAGAAACTAGGTATTCTGTAGATTTATGATGATCTTTTAACACTAACTGCTCAAAAATTGATAAAATTTATGAATCTAATTTTTGGTGTCAGTCCTTATCACATCAAACTCCAGCTTTCATGCTGAATGCAATGGTGATTTTCTAAAAAGAAAGTGAAAAATCAACTTTCCCTAATATATATTTGTCTCTTTGTTGAATGTGACAATTTACCCCCCCCCACACACACACACACACTTTTATAATCATGAGGCACAGCTGTTTTGTTTCTTCAATCAAGAACTGGTCAGTATTTTTCTATTTTTTTTCTTCCTCCTTTTATTAATATTTTCTCTCTCTTTTTTCCAAATTGCCATTTTCCTCTTATTTAATGAATATGTCTGGGAATTTTTTTTTTACAGCACTAATTAAATTTTGTTTTAGATTTTTCAAATTTATTAGAATTTCCAGTTTCAGTTTATTTCATTCTTAAAAAAAAAAAAGGATTCAAGCAGATTTAAAAAAAAATCTTTTTCATTTCACTTTATCATTTATTAATCAACAAATATTAATTTGCATTATTTTATTTTTCATATTTACTCATGAACACTTTTGTTGAATTTAAATCATCAAGTAATGGCTAATGAGCTGGTCTAATTAACTATTATGACTGCATAATGAATTTAATCCCCACTGTAAACAATAACATATCATCATAGAAATTCAGATGGGGAGATTATTCAAAATGTAATTAAAAACTGTTTAGTCTCACCAGGTTTTGCTCACTTTGATAATAGAGAAATGCTATTTGAGTGTAGATATTCTTCATTTGCATTCTGTCTCGTATTTGATCAGGACATAAGCGATCCCAGATATAATACCAAGAAATATGTATGGTTCTCAACTTGGTATTTATGCTGATGACACAACTATTTGCTTCTCTCTTAGTAGCAAATCTAACAGTTCCAACAAAGAAAACCTGGCAGCTACTTTTATTAAAGTGCATGAACGAGAGGTGCTGAAAAAGACCTTCAGTTAGTGGTTAACTGGGAAAAGGAATGGATTGTAAATTTTAGCACTCCAAACAAAACTGTTTTTATTTAATCACCATAGAGAACCTTTTCTGTCTACCATCAGCATGACTGATGCGAACCTCTAGAAAAGGAACTCTCTTTTCATTTTAGGCTCATATTTTCTACTGACATGAAATGGAGTGATTATTTTGAATCAATTGCTAGCTCTACTGCTAGGAATATTACTTCAATATCATGCCAGATAATTTTTATTGTCAGAATACATCTTGAACATTTATAAATCTACGATTTGTCCATGCATTGAATATTGCTGCCAATCTAGTCTGGTGTTCCTGCTGTATATCGCGAGATTCTTAAAAAAAATCAAAGGGTCTGCAATATTATCAGTCCTTACCTGGCATCAGTGACATACAGAGGTTTGGTGATGTTTGTTGATGCCCGGGTTCAACTCCTTGATTGTATACCCCTTAAGATTCAAGCAGGGGGTACTGATATGTCTTAGTACTGAGAAATGTGAGAAAGGAGGACTTTTTAAATATGTAAAAACAGATGAAATATGAAATAAGCATTTTATTCAAATGAAATATAAACTAAATTTTTATTTCACTCTTTGATTGGGTGCCCTCCCGATATGGATACCCAGGGCCATCACACTCTCTGCCCTTGCTTCTGCAAGCTACTGCCTGGCATCTAAATCACTTTCTCACTGACTTGATGTGGATTCCCTCTGTCTTTTCTGCAAATATTTTTATGGCAATTACTCTGATTCCACCTTGCTACCTCAATCACATGAATTTAAACATGCTACCAGGTTGTCAGATAGGTCTCACCATTTTGCTGTTGAAATAGTGAGATAGAATATTTAGTATATCAGTTTTATTCTAATATTTTCTTTTCTCACACTTCTAACCTGTGGAACTTTCTTCCGGTTTCTTGCTTCCCAGTTAATTACAATCTTCAAAGATTTAAATGCAATGCCAATTGCCATCTTCTATCTTCCTGTACATGTTCTTTTATTGTTCTTTTTCCTCATTAAAGTCTTCTCATTCTCTTTCACTCCCAGTAACATCTTAGCATTGTAGCATCTTGTTTAGGATAAAATGATTGAAAAAAAGGAAAGAAAGAAAAATAGGTGTGATTATCTACCAAGATATTAGAAAATAATAAGTACTCCTTGCATTACATCATGTAAGAGCATTTTTTATTCTTCTTCTTTTCTTTACAGTGGCTGCATCGCTTTGACATATTTCAGTGTGCAGTATTCATTTCCATGTCTCATATTAACATACGGATTTTTGATTGGCATTGGAGGGTCAATTGTGTATCCAGTTGGACTCAACTGTGCAATGAGGGTAAATATTTACCTCTTTAAACTTTGTTGTGATAAATCATTAGATATAATCAATTTAAGTTGTTGAAACATATTACATAGTATTTTTTGATATGCCTTCCTTCAGGATGTTAGTGATCATGACTCTCTACTACTTCCTATACTAAGTGATTGTTTTTTTATTATCCCTCCCAATCCCTATTCTTCCATCCACTTATGCAAGGTGGGTTACTCACTGTTTTCACCTCCCCCTCTTGCTTTCTGTAAGCATTAAATTCTCCAAGCCTTCTTTTCTCACTTTCAGAAATTTCAACTCTCCCTTTCTGATTCTAAGTATAAGTGTCCTATTTGTTTGCATTTTCCTTAAAACTTCCTCATTACTCACATGCTTCATTCATGATATTCTCAGCATTCTTCTATAGAGCCACATCTGTGTTTCCTGAACTTTCATCTTTATCTGTAAGGAAATTGTCCAGCATTTGCTACCATATAGGTGGATTGATATTACATAGCATTTCATCACTCTTTTCTTTGTTCCAAACAAAATTTTCCTGTTTCTTTTATACAAGTATAAGTTTCCTTTTTGTTTCCATTTTCTCTAAAATTTCATCATTGCTCACATGGTATTCTCAGCATCTTTCTGTAGAACCACATTTCTACTGCTTCAAGTCTCTTTAGATTGTACAGCTTTCACTGCTATAGGAGGACTTATATTACATAACAGTTCATTACTCTTTTCTTTGTTTCTAACAAAATTTTCCTGTTTCTTAACACTTTGCTTAGCTTTTAGTAGACTTCATTTTGCTATCCCCAAAGCATCTTCAGATTTTGGTGTTGCATTTTTACATGCTCTGTTAAAAGACATCACATATATTTAAACTTTCTTACTAGCTTGATTTTGGCATCTCCAATTTGTAATTTGAATGTTAGGTGCTTCCTTTTGCTGAATTGTTTCATTTTAGTTTTGCATTTCACAAAAGATGACACCATTCATATTCCAGCAGAAACAGACCATTATTTTTTATTCCTGGTTTGGGGATGGATTCTTCATTTTCTGTTGATGTTAACCAATTCCATTTTTATTAGATGAAATTATAAAGAACCTATTTTTCATCATTGATGATAATTGCACCCAGAAAAAAAGTTTCAGGAGCAAGTCTACTCTTCAGTGATGAGCAGAGGACACATCTTTGATTGAGATAAGAAATAATCCATTGCTAAGGTACCCATTAATATATTTTAGACATTTTAGAAGTTTTGTGAAGGTGTTTTATGATTGAAGTGGGTGACTTGTACCAAACTGTTTTACTAATTTTTGTACAGCTGTCTTAACTATGGCTTGCAGAATTTCAATACTGACAGAATTTTATCACCTAGGAAAATTCTGGAGAAAAAAATTTTCTGACTGACCAAAAAATCCTTGTTGCCATGTCTCGAGCACTTAAAGCTTTCATTTCTGTCAGCAGGATAAATATTTATTTCACTATTGTTCCTAAAGAGACTTATTTTTTTTTTTTTATTATTCAGTATTTTTATACTGAATAAAAAAAGAAAAAAAAATTTGATCTAAACTAATTTAAATGGATAAAATCAAAAGAAAATTTACCCACTCTGATATTGAATAATCTGCATCATGAAAAAGACTAAAATATAAAAATTAATGATTATTTTAGTGTAAGTGTTGAAAATATTATCAGTAAAATTGCAATGGACATTGAGATATGGGAAAACATCACTAGCAATCACTTACGCTGGAGACGCAATTTACACCAAGGGCTGGAGAAATGGAGGCTTGCCACCAAGGAGAAAGAAAACAACAAGGCAACATCAGCGGAGATTGTCTTCACATGTATTCATTATAATTGAGACTGTCACTACTGTGTGTGGGCCTGTACAGCCATAACAGATGCTGCAAGGCCATCAGCAGTTGTGGCATAACTCTTTGGACACAGATCCAAGGTTTTTTGAGACCAACAGATGCCACATTTGTACATACAAAAACTGAAAAATGTCAAAGTGATCAGGTTAAAAAACATAACATGACTTTCTTACCAACCATAATGTCTTTTATGCTAAATTCAATGTATCTAGCAATAGATAAGTTTGCTTATCATTCAGTTCACATTCATCTCCAGTCTTTTTGAACAGGAGTAGAGGTTTATCTTTTATTTCCTGTTTAGGTCTGAGTTTCCAATCTTTCTAAAGTCTACTTCAACTCTATACTCTTAACGCTTCCACTTTGAAATTGAAAATTTACTATTTATTTTTTTCAATAAGAATAGATAGTTTCATCTATTGTCCGGTTTATACCCTCCCCAGTTTTTGAATAGGAGTAGAGGTTTATCCATTGTCTTCGTTATGATTGTTTCCAGTCTTTTTAAAGTCAACTTGAAATTTATACTCTTAACATCTCCACATGAAAACTGAAATTTTATTTATCATTTCTTTTTTTTTTCCTCGATAGGGAGCTGGTATATAAGTTAACCTCTTGTCCAGTTTACGCTTTCCTTTTGTCATTTGAATAGGATTAGGTTTATCCCTTTTTTCCTGTTTTGGATTGATTTCCAAAGTTTTTCATTCTCTTTCATTCCTAGTAACTCCCTGGGTCTTAGTGGCATTATGACTTGCTTGGGGGTGAAATGGGTTAAAAATGTAAACAAATAAATTATTTGTATAACTTTTTTAAGGTTTTGTAAGAAAACATTTAAATGTTTTTTTTTTTTCTTATTCATTACAATCATTTCCAGTGGTTTCCCTAATAAGAAAGCAACAGCTGTGGGAGTTGTTCTGCTGGATATGGTATGGCAGCGGATTTTTTTGGAACCCACTCATTACATTCTATATTTAACCTCAAGAATTTTACTCCTAACCGCAAAATAGGGAATGAAATGTAAGTATCAGTCCCAATTTTTTCTTCATTGTGTAGATATATATATTTGGTTTTCTGTTTTTTATTAATTTTTTTAAATATGGTGAGGTCCTAAAAAGGAAATTATATCTAAATACCAAACAGATGCAAATTTTTTTTTGGAATTATTTAGATGTATAATTCACACTGTTATATAATTTCCTATTCAGCCCAGGATACCTATCTTGGTTGTTAAAAAACAGCATTTTGACTGTTGTACGTGACTGACCTTCTTTCTTTAATTATGTAGCAATATTTGCAATGAGGAATTATCATTATTGTGATATAGTGTCAAATTTTCTAAAAATGTCGACACAGTAACATTTTAGTAAAAAATAATAACTTGAAGTAATTTCCTGAACTTTCATCTTTATCTGTAAGGAAATTGTCCAGCATTTGCTACCATATAGGTGGATTGATATTACATAGCATTTCATCACTCTTTTCTTTGTTCCAAACAAAATTTTCCTGTTTCTTTTATACAAGTATAAGTTTCCTTTTTGTTTCCATTTTCTCTAAAATTTCATCATTGCTCATGGTATTCTCAGCATCTTTCTGTAGAACCCATTTTCTACTGCTTCAAGTCTCTTTAGATTGTACAGCTTTCACTGCTATAGGAGGACTTATATTACATAACAGTTCATTACTCTTTTCTTTGTTTCTAACAAAATTTTCCTGTTTCTTAACACTTTGCTTAGCTTTTAGTAGACTTCATTTTGCTATCCCCAAAGCATCTTCAGATTTTGGTGTTGCATTTTTACATGCTCTGTTAAAAGACATCACATATATTTAAACTTTCTTACTAGCTTGATTTTGGCATCTCCAATTTGTAATTTGAATGTTAGGTGCTTTTTTTGCTGAATTGTTTCATTTTAGTTTTGCATTTCACAAAAGATGACACCATTCATATTCAGCAGAAACAGACCATTATTTTTTTATTCCTGGTTTGGGGATGGATTCTTCATTTTCTGTTGATGTTAACCAATTCCATTTTTATTAGATGAAATTATAAAGAACCTATTTTTCATCATTGATGATAATTGCACCCAGAAAAAAAGTTTCAGGAACAGTCTACTCTTCAGTGATGAGCAGAGGACATCTTTGATTGAGATAAGAAATAATCCATTGCTAAAAGGTACCCATTAATATATTTTAGACATTTTTAGAAGTTTGTGAAAGGTGTTTTATGATTGAAGTGGGTGACTTGTACCAAACTGTTTTACTAATTCTTGTACAGCTGTCTTAACTATGGCTTGCAGAATTTCAATACTGACAGAATTTTATCACCTAGGAAAATTCTGGAGAAAAAATTTTCTGACTGACCCCAAAAATCCTTGTTGCCATGTCTGAGCACTTAAAGCTTCATTTCTGTCAGCAGGATAAATATTTATTTCCACTATTGTTCCTAAAGAGACCCTTATTTTTTTCTTTTTATTATTCAGTATTTTTTATACTGAATAATAAAAAGAAAAAAATAATTTGATCTAAACTAATTTTAAATGGATAAAATCAAAAGAAAATTTACCCACTCTGATTTGAATAATCTGCATCATGAAAAAAAGACTAAAATATAAAAATTAATGATTATTTTAGTGTAAGTAAGTTGAAAATATTATCAGTAAAATTGCAATGGACATTGAGATATGGGAAAACATCACTAGCAATCACTTACGCTGGAGACGTAATTTACACCAAGGGCTGGAGAAATGGAGGCTTGCCAATAAGATTATTCTGAAACAAAGGCAACATCAAGCGGAGATTGTCTTCACATGCATTCATTACAATTGAGACTGTCACTACTGTGTGGGCCTGTACAGCCATAACAGATGCTGCAAGGCCGTTAGCAGTTGTGGCATAACTCTTTGGACACAGATCCAAGGTTTCTTGAGACCAACAGATGTCACACACTTGTACATACAAAAACTGAAAATGTCAAAGTGATCATGTTAAAAACACAATATGACTTTCTTACCAACCTAATGCTTTATGCTAAATTCAATGTATCTAGCAATAGATAAGTTTGCTTATCATTCAGTTCACATTCATCTCCAGTCTTTTGAACAGGAGTAGAGGTTTATCTTTTATTTCCTGTTTAGGTCTGAGTTTCCACTTCCTTCTAAAGTCTACTTCAACTCTATACTTCTAACGTTTCCACTTTGAAATTTTATTTACTATTTATTTTTTTTTCAATAAGAATAGATAGTTTCATCTATTGTCCGGTTTATACTCCTCCCCAGTTTTTGAATAGGAGTAGAGGTTTATCCATTGTTCTCTGTTAAGGATTGGGTTTCCAGTTCCTTTTAAAGTCAACTTGAAATTTATACTTCTAACATCTCCACATGAAACTCTGAAATTTTATTTATCTTCTTTTTTTTCCTCGATAGGAGTATATAAGTTAACCTCTTGTCCAGTTTACGCTTCTCCCTTGTCATTTGAATAGGATTAGGTTTATCCCTTTTTTCCTGTTTTGGATTGGATTTCCAAAGTTTTTCATTCTCTTTCACTCCTAGTAACTCCTGGCGTCTTAGTGGCATTATGACTTTGCTTGGGGTGAAATGGTTAAAATGTAAACAAATAAATTATTTGTATAATCTTTTTAAGGTTTTGTAAGAAAACATTTAAATGTTTTTTTTTTTCTTATTCATTACAATCATTTCAGTGGTTTCCTAATAAGAAAGCAACAGCTGTGGGAGTTGTTCTGGCTGGATATGGTATGGCAGCATTTTTTTGGAACCCACTCATTACATTCTATATTAACCCCAAGAATTTTACTCCTAACCGCAAAATAGGGAATGAAATGTAAGTATCAGTCTGTGTTTTTCTTCAGTGTGTGTAGATATATATATTTGGTTTTCATGTGGGGTCAGCATTAACCAACTTAAATATGGTGAGGTCCTAAAAAAAAGGAAATTATATCTAAATACCAAACAGATGGCCTTTTTTGTTGGAATTATTTAGATGTATAATTATCATTGTTATATAATTTCCTATTCAGCCCAGGATACCTATCTTGGTTGTTACACTCACAGCATTTTGACTGTTGTACTCACTGACCTTCTTTCTTTAATTATGTAGCAATATTTGCAATGAGGAATTATCATTATTGTGATATAGTGTCAAATTTTCTAAACCCAATTTCCTCATAATATTCTCTAGAAATTTTAACTATCTTTTTCTGATTCAAAATATATGTCCTTTTTGTTTCCATTTTCTCTAAATCTTTATTAATGCTTACATGTTCAGTCCATGGTATCCACAACATCCTTCTAACACCAAAGTTAAGCAATGTTGAGCCTTATCTATATGGTTGACTGCTTGAGAATATGCAATATTGTAAGCTTGGATGTGCAGATGGTGTAATGGATAATGGTTTGAAATTGTTAATTGGAGAGCCAAGTTCCAATTCCAGTTGGGTTCATTATATTCACTTACAGAAAAATACCATTGAGAATGGTATCAATCCACCTAGCTATCGGTTAATAAGTAAGACTTGTATTGCTAAAACTGTTTTACCTCTTTATTTGCCTTGTCCTTTCAGGATGTAGGTGATGATGGCTCTCCACAACTTCTTCTCCTTTGTAGTTCTTTATGTTTCCTAAGCCCTGTTCTGCCATCCATTTATTAAAGCTCACTAAATATATTATGCAGTTTTCCTCTATCTCTCTTGCTTTCAATTATCCTGTGCGTATCATGTTTTCCAAGCCTTCTTTCCTAAATTATGTGCTCTAGAAACCTCAACTGTCTCTTCTTGATAATTTTTTTTTTTGTTTCCATTTTCCTTCAAACTTTGTTGTTGCTCACATGTTCGGTCCATGGTGTTGTAAACATCCTGCTGTAGAAGCACATTTCTGCTGCTTCAAGTCTCTTCATCTTTGAGGAAATTGTCCAGCACTTGCTGCCATAGAGGAGGACAGATAAAGAAATGCATACAAAATACTTAGATTTCGGTAAATCTACTAGATCAGCAACGTTGAGTATACAACTCAGTCTTTGCCCGCCCTGTGATCTAAAACAAACACAACCTGTGTAGAGTGGGAATTGAAGATTGAGTAACCAACTCCAAGGCTGGCAAGGATTGACCACGGACTCGCCTAGTGACTGAGGATGGGATTGTGATGTCATACTTGATTTTAACATCTGTAATTTGTAATTTGTATGTTGAGTTGTTTCTGGTTGCTGACAACCAAAACCAAAATAATTTGCTTCATGATTTTTCATTGACAGATGATTGAATTCTGAAACTCTGACACCCAGGAATACGTGAGAAATATCTAGTCAGACAAGCAAGCCATTCTTGATTCTAATAAAAGATGAATTTCGGTCTAAGATAACACAAATTCTGATATCAATGAGATTTGACTGGGATCAAAGTGTAGTATCTGCCCTTGGTAGATAAACTACATTTCATCTCTCAGTTGTGTCACTGTCTGCAGACTGAAAATATTATTGGGAGGTACCTAGTCTTGGGTACTGTGACAGTACCACCCTCATTGCACTAAAGACGGGGAGATCGGTATTAATACTGATGCCAGCAGAACCAACAATTGCAGGGTCTGGGCTATTTTTGGACCTGGCCCGGATATATGTGTTCAGGCTTCCCACATTAAACTGACCTTGTGTCACATCCTGACAATGGGGAGTGGCAAGAAAATACAATCACTGTTACATAACCAAATACAAGGGAGAAGAACATGTTGCTGATACAACTTTATTTACAATATATTTTGCATTTTTCAGCTTTTTACATTTGGTATCTATAAAAATCAAATCCTATCTTATGAACTAGCAGATCATTAGGTTAACTGTTACATCTTGTCTGGTGCTTCTGCTTTGTATTTAGAAATTCTTAACAAAATCCAAAGAAGTATCTGTGACATTATCAGTCCTGACCTGGCATCTTGGCTTCAATCACATTCCCACTGCTCTAACATAGCTTCCTTGTGTCTTTTTGTTGTGGAGTTATTTCGCAGTGGAGGCTTGTATTTGTACTAAATTGGTCCTAAATAGGTTCGACGTACAAAATGTTAGGAACTTGATATAATAGGTATTACGCAGAGTAATCTTGTTGTGGTCGCTGACTACTTTTGTATTCGACTAACTGTCGACTACTGTCATCCGACATTGACTGACCCTCGCTTCTCTTACCACTCCTACTTATATTAGGTGGCAGAGTCTATTAACTATAGAATAGGTGTGTTTCACCATAACACTTTTCTATAAATATTTTCATGCCAATTGTTCTGATAAGCTTTCCTCTTTGATATCTTGACTTTATGAGTTTAAGCTAGATTGGCAGTTAGGTCTCATCATTTTACTGTTGAAATTGCTAGATATAACCATAGGTTTTGTTATAATAGTTTCTTCTCTCACACATCTCACCTGTGGAACCTTGAATCCTGTCTCTTTAATGTCCTCTCTCTTCAATAACATTTTCTTAGTTTCTTTCACTCTCAGTAAACACTTGCATCTTAGTGGCTTTAACACCTTGCTTGAGGTGAAATGATAAAAAAAGAAAGACTTCATGCTAAGTAGCATTATTTATTGTTTAATATAACTTCTATTTAACTGATTACAGGGAGTGGTGAAGAGATGGATTCATGCCTTTCCAAAAAGCATGTGTGTGAAAGTTTGAAAGGAAATTCAACAAACTACTACAGAATTTGAACTTGGCTTACCATTTTTCATTTTCACATGCATTCAAATTATTATTCCAAGCTCTAAAATTAATGAATAATGTCAATGCTTCATGTAAATTTATGATTACTATAAATAAGTATAAACAAACAATATAGTGGTGTGTAAAAATCACATCATGGTGAATGTAGCTTTATGATTAAATTTGAATGACATATCATGGTTAGTTTTTGTGGCCTAATCAATAAGCTGTGCCTATATCAAATAGGCTCTGAAGGTTATGAGTTCAAATCACAGTAGAGGCTACTTATTTATTTTAGTAACTATGTATCCTTCATAATTATAGGTCTTCCAGCAATATCAAATTTAAACAGCAGTGCTCATATGATCACCAAAGTTAGGCAACATTGAACTTGGTCAGTACTTAGAAGGGTGACCACTTGAGAATATCAGGTTCTGTAATCTTGGATCAGTGTGTTGTGTAATAGATAATGACTTGGAATTGTTTATCAGAGTTCAAATTCCAGTCAGGTTCATTATATTTACATACACATAAAAACCCCTGGGAAAGGTATGAACCCACTTCTTCTCACCCCTGCTATGGGTTAATTAGTAGAACTTGTATCAGTGAATCATTATTATCTGCAAAAAATTCATACAATCTAAAAATATTTTCTGGATTTAAATATCCTGCAAAAGGTTGATAAGACATAAAAAATAACTCAACCATTATTGTAGAATGTAAAAAAAAATAACTAGAGTGTTACAATAAGATGAAAAAATAAAATAAGACACTGCTGGTAAGCAAAATAATAACTTGTAAGCAATCTACTGCTATGGACACCTACCCATTGAGCAAGATGGTTTGTTTGCCCAGCAACCATCTATATTGACTAGATATGTTATGATGCAGAATGATCTACTGACTTTAATGCAAGACTGTAATGGCTGGCGTGATAGATTCACAAATGTCTGAGCTAACTTGCCTGAATAATAAAAACAAATTTTAAATAATAAATAATGATGAAGAACTGTTATAAAAAAGAAAAAAAAAATGATTCTTTTGGTTGCTTTCAGATATTTTTCTCAACCGGAAGTTCTTGACAATGTTCCTTCTTGTTTTCTGGTTTTGGGAAGTTCTTATGCAGTAATTCTTCTACTTGGAGCCTTATTGACGTTTAATCCAAAATTGGTAAGTGACACTTCTCTCTACTTCATTCTAAACTTAAAATTCTTCTTTATATACTGTCAGGACATAGGCTATCATGTCTCTCCACAATTTCCTCTCCTTTGTAGCTCTAAATAAATTATGGCTTTTTGTTCTTAAAAACCCTCTTCTACCATCCATTAACAAGTATATTATGTGCTATTTTTCTCTCTCCCTTAATCTGTCCTATGAATGTCAAATTTTCCAAGCTCTGTTTCTTCATTATATGCCCTAGAAACCTTAACTGTCTCTTCCTGATGTTAAGAATAAGTTTTCTTTTTGTTTCCATTTTCTCTAAAACCTCATCATTGTGCACATGTTCAGTCCATGGTATCCTCAGCATCCTTGTATACAAGCAACAGAAATGCGGTTCTATGTGAAGTCTCTTCTTCATCTTTGAGGTGACTGTTCAGCATTCACTCCCATAGAGGAGGGTAGATATCGCATAACAGTTCAATACTCTTTTCTTTGTTTATCTTGTCTAATTAACAGTTGTTAAAGATTTTAAAGTTTTTTTGTGTGTATGTGGGGGAGGGGACATCTAAAAAATAAAATAATGATAAACAAAAAAAAACACAAGTACAGTTGGAACTTAGTTTCCTTTATCATTTATTAACATTAATAATTGACTTGTCACATCTATGTCCCTGATCCCTACAGGATTTTGTTGATGATGGCTCTCCACAACTTCCTATCCTTTGTATCTCGTAGCAATGCTTGTCTTTTTACTATCACTCTCAGTCCCCATTCTGTCATCTATTTATATCATTAGGTTACTTATTGTTTCTCTCTTTAATATGTCCTCTGAGTGTTAAATTCTACAAGCTCACTTTTCTCATGTGCTCTAGAAATCTCACCCATCTGGTTCTAATTTTAAGTATAAGTGTCCTATTTATTTCCATTTTCCTTAAAACTTCCTTGTTGCTCACATGCATCATCCATGGTATTCTCAGCATATTCTTAAATATTGATCGGGTTTAAACATATATACAAGCATTGTTTTGGTTTTTGAATTTGAACTCAATTTGCCAATTCCATGTCACACATCAATAACTGCTACATGACCCATGTATCCTAGAAACACTGTACTTATTTAATTATTAAATATTTTTATTGAATTTCAAGTCTTTTTATATTGCTCATTAAAGTTGAAAGTTTATAGTATTTCTGGGTAAAGTTTTGATCTGATTATACTTATCAATTTATATCTGAACTTAACGTTAGCAGATAAATTCATACAAGTTTCATTGTAGAAAAACATCTTCTTTAACAGGTTATTCTGACTTTGTCCTGTCAATCAGGTACTGTGGCTGAACTGGTAGAGGCATGCTTTGGCTTAAGTGGTTTCTCTGCAGTATGAAAGGGATGCAGGTTCAATTCCTGTTGGAGGCTGAATTTTTCTTTAGTAGGTCTTCTCAGTTTAGGCTGGTTGCTATTGATTTCACTATTTAATAAAATAAAAAAAAGGAGTAACAACTGAAACACTTGGTGTAACCACTAAAAATAACATTTATATTAATAAGAAATAATGTCAGATAAAAAATCCTTTCAAAATATATATATATATATATATAAACATGTTTCGTAAATAATATGGAAAATTTCTGTCTATAAATTTTTTAAACTGAAATTTTTATGTTTTCTTTCTTTGTTTTCTTTTTGTTTTAATTTTTTTTTTTTTTTTTCTTTTTTTCTTTTTGTTTTCTTTTTTCTTTTTCTTTTTTGTTTTTGTTTCTTTTTTCCTTATTTTGTTTTCTTTTCTCTTTTTGTTTTCTTTTTTCTCTTTTTCCTTTTTTTCTCTTTTTCTTTTTTCATTTTTTCTTTTTGTTTTTCTTTTTTCTTTCTTTTTTTTTTTTTTTTTTTTTTTCTTTGTTTCTTTTTTTAAACTCACTTCAGTATATGATCCCCTATGGAAAAAGATAACTTTTCTTCCATTCGTTTTCAAGGATTATTCTGTGTGGAGTTACACAATTAGTTTGTAATTCTCACACTCTCACTCTCATAGAATGGATCTTTCAAATTTCTAAATAAATTGTTTTGTTTTAGTGATAAATTTGCCAAAACTCACATAAAAATGTATATTAAATTAAAAAGCAGTTGCATAACTACACACAGAATAATCTTTGAAAATGAATGTAGAACGTATCTTTCTCCATAAGAGACCATATATTGAAGTGCATTTAATAAACACACAGACACACATAGAGGGAGAGAGAGAGATAAAATATAATAGTGAACACTGAGGGCAACTCTGAACAGTGACAGCCTGTTTCATGCTTGAACGATTACACATTTCAGTTAACTGCCATTTATTGTTTAAATGTTGATTATTTATGGTTTCTCTCTTTTTTTTCACTCCACTTAAAATAATTCTTACACTTGCAACACCTGCTCAAAAATTAGTAAAAAGCTTTGATATTATACTGCTTTACTAGGAAATAATAGAAAAATTGCTGCTGTATAAATTGTTATTCATGACAGATGATAGCTGTTGTGGATGTGGGGTCTGGCAAGACATAACACTTAAGTCAACAGAGTAAGTAATGATAGTAGTACTTAGCTAGACATGTCAACGCAGTAGTATTATCTCCTACCTCCTAGGCAATTACCCAGGATTACTTATTATGATTGGATCAGTCCATTTGTGATAGTAAGGGTAACTAGCTCATACCACATCTCCCTTTTGTGACTTACTTTCTATAGAAGTTATACTTTTTCTTTTTGGGTTAAGAATAAGATCCAACACTTCCATAGGCTGCCTCTTCCTTTTACTGGAGTGTGTGATTTCCAGAGCTATCGTCATACCAAACTACTATGATCTCCCCTCTTGGATGCTCTGTTCGTCCGAGTACCTTTTTTTTATTTGATTTAGATGTCTTTTATGCACCCATATAAACCCTTTTATCATGTAAAATAACTTTCCAGCATGTTTTTTGACTACCCAGTCTTCCCAGCATTCATTTTTGTAAGTTCAAAAAATACTTTTTCACCAGATTTGAAGTATTTCTAGGTATCAGATTTTTTTTTTTTTTTTTTGATATCTTCAACGTTACATCTGAAGAAGAGAAAAGGAGCAGAGTAATTCTTTTGTCAAAGAACTCAGACCGTCTCCTGATCAATGAAGAAGTTTTGAGACAACTTCCAAATGACTGCTACACCTATTATAGTACAGATAAAGTTTTGACAGATGATCCTGCTAAGCGCTACCTACTTGAATTTTTAAACTCTTTGACACAATCAGGAATGCCTCCTCATAAATTGAGTTTAAAACCCGGCTTAATAGTAATGCTTCTTCATAACATTTCTATCCAGAATGGACTCTGCAATGGTACAAGACTGGAAGTGGTGGCCATGCATCAACATTCAACTGAGGATTCCTTGATTTGTGGCTCACTAATTGGCAGACTTGTCCTCATCCCCAGAATAAAGCTGGCTCCAAGCAACTCTAACTTACCATTCACCTTGGAGAGAACCCAGTTACCTGTCCATTTGTCATATGCCATGACTATTTACAAGTCACAGGTTCAGACATTTGAGAAGGTGGGATTGTTTTTATCTCAGCCAGTGTTCAGTCATGGGCAATTGTATGTGTCATACTCTAGAGCTAGCAAACTCTCAGATGTAAGGGTTAAGGTGATGGAGACAGACAGACAGACAAGCAAGAAGAGGGCGAGCTGTTACTAAGAACATTGTCTGCCGAGAGGTACTGACTTGAAAGAGTGGAGTGACCCTTGATTGCATTAGGTTTATATATATATATATATGTAAGTGTTACCAGTTTGTGACTGGTATGAATACTTCCAAGGAGGATATAAATCCAGGGAGAGCTCAATGTAGACTACAGAGTATCATAATAATAATGATAATAATAATAAAGGAGGAAACTTTAATTATTCATTTTGATTATAATTTATTTCGTTAACACCAAAATGTTCATCTCTTCAGATCGCTTCCTTAACTCTTTCTTTTCCATACCCCCCCATATCTCTTCTCTCTCCGTCCCCCAGTCAATCTAATATATCTGTCTGGTGTATTGTTTCCATTTACTAAGGAGATTTTGATCTAAGAACACACAGGGGTCATTAAAAGATAAGAATATAGATATCTTTCTCACCCTTTCTCAGACCAGTCTTAATTGTTTTATTTCCCTTCATGCAGAACTTTTTCACTGACAGTTCAAGGAAGACATTTGGGTCACTAATACACGAAAAAGAGAATGTCTAATACCAAGAATATTTAACATTGAAAAACACAAGAAAAATTAATTCCTTTTAATAATATGTGGAAATATCCACTCTTTGCCTGATGAAGGTAATGAGACCGGAAACTCGGGTAGCACAATTATGGAAAATAAAGCATAATATTTTTTTAAAAAATCCACATTCGGTTATGTATATATATATATTAAAGGAATATCTTTTAAATGAAGAAATTATTTATATGTGGCATGTATTATATAGTTTTGTATATTATAATTAAGTAATTCATCGATGAATAATCCTCCTAATCCTCCTAATAATTTCTATCACTTGTATATCATTGCTTGAACCGGCTTCTAATGCTCAAGTTTGAGCGGCTTGGTGAGAGTAGTCGTGGCTCCTGGGGGCACAGTCCTATGGTTATAGAGAATCTCAGTTGAGTTCCACCAAGGAATATGTGAGCGAGCAGCGCTATATTGAGTCTGATTTGCTACCTCTTCGTCATGGGGGCCCATTGGAACAGTTGGTATGACGTTTGCATGATAACCTAACTGTCAGGGTTTCAATTCTTGGTAGTGGATGCGCACTGCTGATAAGTCCCAAATATAGGACGAAATGGCCATCCAGTGCTTTCTGCATTCTGTTGAGGTTTCTTTCTGACTCAATGAACTACTTAATTATAATTATCAAATCCTCCTAATAATTTCTATCACTAGTTTATATATATATATATATATATATATATATATATATATATATATACATATATATATGTCTATTGTATTCTGTATTCATATCAGAGGAAACTGATACAGCTCTATGTTGGGAATATGGAGTACCACGGACTGATTGATATAGGCAATATTTGCAAACTTGGTGGACACTCCCAAGTATCCCTATGTGTTGTTCATTTTTCCAGCCTATGACTATTCTTGTATGTTAAGAACAGATAGATTTAGTAGCTAAATTTTACATATTTGTAAATATACCTCTACAAATATATGCAATTTTACTATTTGTTGCCCAAGTATCTCATTCTGTTATATATGTAGAGACTTTAATTGCTTCTTCTTCAATGCGTTATATATATATATATATATATATATATATAAAGAGTAAATATTGGTTTTGTTACCCGTACACTAATATCCCTTAAAATTTTTCCAAAATCGTCATAATTCCGTGCAAATGTACATGCTGAACTCGAATTAACAATTAAATTATGAAGAAACCTTACCATTTTGGAGTTATCGACAAGAAAAAAATCGGACTTCTTGTTGGTCATTCGTCCCCCATTACTGCCATCATGAATCTCGAAAATCACTACGCACGGGTAACAAAACCAATATTTACCGAAAAATAAGTTTATTATTTACTCAACATTCTTTTTGTCAATCCGTGGAAATCCCACAGGTCCCACTAGTTTTAATAGTTTTATTAACTTTTTTAATCCTTTCTAGCACGTTCAAAATTTTGGTTAAAATTCTTTTTCTTTTTTTTTTTTTTTTTGTCAGCAGTCAACGTAATATTTAATTTATGATTAGTGTTTTAGTGCCTCTTTTCCAGTGAAAAAGACATTGATTTGGAAATTCTTACAAAAAAATCAAATAATTGTCAGATTTTAATTAAATTTTCAGGACTTATTCACAAGTGAATGAAATTATTTTTGAATTTTTTTTTTTAGAAAATCTTGAAAGGAAAACTTTTTTTTTTCAAACTTCTACTCATTTTCTGAAAATCTTGTAATTGTAAAATAAAACATGCAATAAAACTTTCATTATATAATTAGAAAAGCTTTTAATTGCTTTTAGTTTTATAAACAAGAGTTATTAAGTGGACTATTGTCTTGAGAAAAAAATTTTTGATGAATAATAAATTTTTACAAAAGTTGTTTTCACTTTTTAAAAATTTTAATTATAATAATTTATGAAGGATAACCAAAAAAAGTGATGCTAATCATCTATTTTATAAAAAAAAAAATAATAATAATCAATTCCAATCAATATAATTTCTGTTTGAAATACACCAGAGTATTTTACTTTCAGGAAATAATAAATTTAATCATTTAGATTTCAATTAAAGCTAAAATGAAAGCTTATTCATTTTAAACCTCAAGTATCGTGAATAAGTGGAGATACATACTTTTATTGCTTGGCTTTATATTAAAAGTTCAATCTGGCAAACACTGTCCTTTTTTCTTTTGTATTTCTGATGGTTAGAAAATAAACGAACATGTGAACGACTCCTAGACATTTTGCCGGATGTCATCTAATTTGCGAACTTAATTAAAAAAAAAAACAGAAATATCTTCCCACACCAAGCCCTCCTCTGCAGTGCTGTCAAATGTGAATGACGTTTTATTTCAAGTAAAACTGCAAATTTTTGTGTCTGTCTCAAAAGACATTGCCATGTTTCTGGTAAAATATCAGAGCAATAAACTGTTGCTTCCTTTCCTTGCAGATGAACTTTTTTAGCATGATCATAAAACTGTTCAGATTTGAAAAGGAAGACCGCACTAAAAAGATAATTACATTTTCTAAACTGGATGAATTTGTAAGAATTTTGTCAAATCCAAACATGCATAAAGATACTGCAAAGATCTAGTATGGATTTCTGGCAGACAGGTCTATGCAAAATTTATCCAGAAAAGGAAATGTATCTACAAAGGAATGTTTGTCTTTGTTGAAATTCTGCATGCAATGTTCATTGAGAAACTTCTGGCAAAGTTTCCCCTTAGATACCTTCTTGTAAGGTCACTTGCATGGGTGAACTCTGAATCCATTTCTGAAAAAACATTTGCCACAAAAGACAGTCTAAAAAGTTGTCTTTCCCACATGATGGACAGAAAACAAGTCAGCAAGTCTGATTGTGATGACATCATCAGTCAGTACAAAGAGTCCAAGTAGGAGGCTGTTGGAAATAGTTCTTTCAAGAATTTCAGCAAGCATGAAAACTGGACACTTTCATCTACTCTTCTTTGTCTAGCAACAAATAATATCAAAAACTGGAAAGTTCTTCACAGATTGCTGGTACTCTCTCATGGACAGCTCTCAGTAAAGAGAGGTTTGTCAGTCAATAAGGAAATTTCCACTGACAATATGAAACAGCAGACTCTAGTTGCACAGTGCATTATCACAGACTATTTGGCAACAGTTGGAGCTGGGGATGTTCCCATAACTTTATCTGGGAAAAAAGTAGACATAAAAAGTTCTAGTAATTTTGCAATGTATATTTCAGATGTTCTGTTCTTTCCGGCATTAATTTTTTTTTTTTTGTACTGATTTCACAACCTGAAAAAGCACATCTTTGCCCATCACCATTATAATAAAGCATCCTCATAGCCAACTGTTGTGGATATGGGATCTGGCAAGATACAACACTTCACTTGACAATCAGCTATGATACTATTTAATACTTGGTAAGTTTAATCTTCTTTCTTGACTAATTATCATGAATGAATTGGTTCATTCATGATAGTAAGGAGGGTAACTGGCTCTTACCACAACAATAGTCATCACAGTGCAATTATTTATTTATTTTACTTTATTTCATTTTTTTTCAGTCTTCAGTGCCTGCCTCACAGACTATCGAAACCGAATCGGACTCAAATTCAGAATCGGATTTGGAACAAAGTAAAAACGAGGACCAAATACAATTGATGAGGATAAGCAGAAAACGAGTGAAGCCAGAGTAAGTGATTATTTTCTCTTTCTTCAATCAACATTTTTCCCAACATGCGTGTGTAGCTCAATAGCAAAAGCAAGAACTGGGTGTTGAAGAGGCATCTTCTTCTTCCATGTGCCATATACCTTCAGAATGTAAGTGATCATGACTCTCAATAATTTCTGCTTCTTTGTAGCTCTTAATAAATTTTGCCTTCTTCCTATCTCTCCTAAACCTTGCTCGACTATTCATTTACTCTAGCTCAATCATCTACTTCCACTTACCATGTCCTTTCAGGATATTGGTGATCATGGCTCTCCACAATTTCCTATCCTTTGTAGCTCTTAATAAATTGTCTTTTTGCTATCTCTCCTTGTTCCACCATTCATTTACTCAAGCTTGTTATGTAGATTGTGCGTTGTTTTCCTCTGTCCCTGTTGCCTTCAATCTGTCTTGTGGGTATCAAATTTTCTAAGCGCTCTTTCCTCATTATGCATCCTAGAAATTTCATGTAGCTCATTCTGATGTTAAGTATAAGTGTCCTTTTTGTTTTCATTTTCTTTAAAACTTCATCATTACTCACATGTTCAGTTCATGCTATTCTCAGCATCCTTCTGTAGAATTACATTGCTGTTGCTTCAAACATCTTTCTTTTTTCTATTTTTTGTCACACTATCTCATGAGAAAATGAATAATCTAATTTTAAGCTAAATTTCACAGATAATTAGTTGTCAGTTCAAATCTTGCAAAATGTTTGTCTGCGTGCATATATATATATATATATATATATATATATATATATATCTCAAAGGAAAAACTTAACATATCTTGAAAAATCCAGTAATTTATTTCAACAGGTAGGTTTTTAATACCTGTAAGTATTAAAAACTTACCTGCTGAAATATATTTATTACTGTGTTTTTAGATGTTTTAAGTTTTTTTTTCCTTTGATATATTTGCTCTGTATACAATACATTGAGCTCTCTTCATGGCTCTATCTTTTTAATATTTTATTTTTTATATTAGTAAAACCTACTTGGATTATCCTTTCCACTTATTGATTTGATATATATATATATTTATATATATATATATATATAAATGGTGCAGCCCTTCTTGTCCGAGTATGCCAGTCGACTAGGGTGGATAGCTCAGGCACATTTGGGTTTATTCAGCACTCACAAAACCCACCTGTGATTTATACTGCAACTATGCTGAGTGGACCCTACTAACAGTTTCTGTGAGATAGCGCACTGTCTAGCATGATTAACAATTTGGACAAAGCCAGTGCGCTCAAACCCTCAGTCACGATGACATGTGACTTCATACTAGAACTACTACTGATAGCTCCCAAGGGTTCCATCCACCCAATTTCACACACAAATCTTGGGTCAACCCATCATATGGTTTTTAGGCACTTTCCAAAGGTGTCGCACGCTGGGATCACCTTCTACAGACCTACAGAATAAAAAATGTCACATCTGGGCTGGAGCTGCCCAATTGTCACTTTCCTGTCTCAACAGAGTTCAAAAGCATTTTCACAGCCTTATGGATGATGTATTGTTTTCCACCTTACAACCACTTTCCCCACAGGCGAAACATTGCTGGCTTCTCACTATACTAACACTATTTTCAGATATTCAAGCAAGATACATTCCTTTGTTCCACCTTCATAGCTAGGATATGTCATACTACTACACATCCTCATTCCCTTCATAATCTATTGGTAAGGATAGAGTTTCACTCAGACAGCTTCTTCTTCAGAATCATTACATTTTGGAATGAACTCCCAAGAGGATGCTTCCCTGATTGCTACAATCTTAGCCTCTTCAAGTTGAGTGGTAGTGGTTATCTATCCTACATATCCTCATAATACACACATGTTGCCCATTCCTTGTATACTCTTACAATATCCTTGTTTTTAACCCTCTATCTTGAGTGGCTCTCCAATCTTTTATTAGATGAACAGTAGTTAAAAAAAGCAACTAAAATGAAACAAAAATATCCAAATTGAGCTAAAACCTTGAATATCAGTTTTAATTAGTATCAAATTTAATTGTATAAATATTTTTTGCTTAGCATGTAATTTAATTGTATAAATATTTTTCCCAGATTACAACAGAAGAATCAACCAAATATTAACAGCGAAAATAAAGACTATAAAACTGAGTAAGTACAAAGTTATTTATGCTGTATTTTTTTCATAATATTTTTCTATATTACTATAAAGTATTGTTATTACTTTTTATTGCTAATTTTATCATTAAAAGATTTAACCATTTCTTTCTCTCTATGAGTATTTTATATATATATATATATATATATATATATATATATATATATATATATTATTACATCATAACATGTTTTGCTTTTATAAGATTTCTCAAATATTCAGGCCAGTAGACAAAAATAAATATACTGTTTAATAAATAGTGTTTACTCAAATATAGGTATCCACTAAAAATAACTTTTAACTAATAAAATCTGTCAGATTAATAAAATTTTTAAAAATCCATCACTTCTTTAGATAGACATTTTTTGTTTTTTAATCATTTCACCCCCAGCAAGGTGATAATGCCACCAAGGATGCAAGGGGTTACAGTGAATGAAAGAGAAAGAGAAGATGTTAGCAAAGAGAGTTGAGTAAAAGGATAATAAAGGAATAGGGTTCAGGAAGACAGTGGATGATGATGATTGACATTGAATTTAAATTTTTGAAGATTGTAGGTGGCAGGGAGGCAAGAAATTGAGAGGGAGTTATACAGATTAGAATTGCAAGAAAATAAATTATTAGAATAAAATTGACAATTGCATCTAGCTAGTTCAATCTAGTATCTTGTTTAAATTCATGCTGTCAAGGCACTACGGAGAACAGTTCATCAGAACAAATGTCATGAAAATATTGGTAGAAAAGATAGAGGGAAGACATGTCATGTTGGTGGGAAAGTGACTGAAGTTGAGATGCTACTGTCTTTCCCAAGAAGGTGTTGCAATTGACAGATAATGAAACAAAGGTATCTCCAGAGAGGCATTATTGCCTACATCCTGAAAAGACATGACATTTTAAGTTATCATGTCACTGCAAAGATGGAAATGACTGTTTAAATGTAATCTTTGTGTCTTGTACAGAATTTTGGAAGAAGAAGAAGAATTCTCGCTGAGTCCACAAGAAGTGCTAAAAACTCGACAATTCTACTTACTTTGGTTCATTCTGTTCTTCCTTAATCAAAGCATTGACTTTATTTGCACCCTGTATAAGGTAAGAAAAGTTAACTTCAGTCTTTTTAATTAATTATTGATTTTATTTAATTACTGATCTATTTAATTAATTATTGACTTAAGGATCAATCAGACAAGAAATGATAGCAATAAAAAGTATTTTCTGTCAGCCTGATAACTTCATTGCACACACACATACACACACACACACACACACAGGGTGTCCCCCAAAAAATGACATTTAAAATGAGAATATCTGAGTAACTACAATGTCCCAGGCAAACAAAATAAAATAGACTTCATGTTGAACAATAAAAGATTTATTTATCAAAATGTGAACAAGATATTCAAAGGGATATACATTTTGTAACTGATTTCACAATGCTTCACAAATGTTCAATATACACACCACCTGTGACATGACACAGGTCAAGTCAGTAGATCAGAAATGTCTAATATGTGCACCACATGTCAAGTTGGTAGTCCAGCTCTTGCCAAACACACTGTAACATGTCTTGCATAACACTCTTCAGTACCTCAGTAATTCTCTGCTTGAGTTCCTCTAGGCTTCTAGAAAGAGGTGGGATATAAACCTGTCCTTTCACATAAGCCCTATAGAAAAAAAAATCACAAGATGTCAAGTCAAGTGAACATGGTGGCCATTTCAACAGCTCATTGTCATCATCACTGGCATGCCCAATCCATCTTCCTCGTAGATTCTTACTGAGATAAGTGCATGCAGTCAACTTAGTTTTTACACATTTTGACCGAGAATTGGCTATGTTATTAGACTAAAAAATGATGTCAATTTTGGGGTTACTGCCTGTATATATGATGAGTTGGGTTCAAATATAGATTGGAATCAGACAGAATTATAAGATAAAGACAAGTAAGATTATTTTAAAAAATATTTGTTGCATAATATAAACGCTTTTTGTATCATGGGTTACAACTATGTAAAAGATTTATAAAAAAATTAAAAAAATCATTTTAAATCACTGTCAGCTGATACATTTGTGCATAGACAGTCCGATGCATAGCTGTAGATTGAGATATGAACATATTAGAGATGATCGGTTTAACCAAAAAAACTACATCTACACACTGTAAAACCACATCAAAATTTTTTACAAAACTGAAATCGTTCATTTTTTTTAAGTGCTATCACTACTGAGTGACCATATCCAAAGAAACACTATTGAAAAAGACTTTCAGATATTAATAAAATTGTTATAGTGGATCACACCTATTCTATAGTTAATAGACTCTCCCACCTATAATAAGAAGGAGTAGTAAGAGTAACAAGGCAGTCGCTCAGTGGGTCAGGCAGTCAGTCGATGCCGGACGACCGTTAGTCGGATGCTAAAGTATCAGCGACCACAACTAGATTTTCTCTGCATCATACCTATTATATGAAGTTCCTAACATTTTGTACGTCGAACCTATTTTAGGGCCAACTTAGTACAAATACAAGACTCCACTGTGAAACCACCACGCAACAAAAATTTAATTTTATCAACATTTATATACCATTGCAAGAGAAAAAGATTGAACAAAAATATGTTAAAAACATTTAATTGACTAGTTTTAAGAAATAAATGTGAAATTTTTTTGTTTACAAAAGAAATGAAGAAAAAAAGGAAATACAACATGATGTCTGAAATCTATTTGTTTTAGTTTTAAAAAACAGAAAAAACTTTTTGTGGTAAAATTAAGTTAACAACAAAATAGTGAAATAGTTGCCAGTTTTGTCTTAATGTTAAATTTTATGAAGTCAGATTTTTTGTAAGCATTTTCTAGTAAGCTACTATGTGCCAATCACAAAATAAAGTTGTTGTAAACAAGAAAAATAAATGAAGATTTATTTTTATAAATCATTTGTTTTTTTTTCATCTAGGGAATGCACCTAAATTAGATATTAAGAATAATTAAAATAGTTCTTAATTTCACATTTAAAATGTGTATATTTCCAGATGTATAAGTCTCTAGTATATTATTGTTTGTTTTCTACAAATAAAATTATCTTTCTATCTAGCGAATACACCTAAAATTAGATATTAAAAATAAAGTAAATTTTAATCATCTCGGTTTTAAAATGTGTATATTTTCAAAACTGCAAGTCATTTTTTTTTAAACCCAAAGTAAAAATTATTCTTTTTAGCCACTAGTCAGTGTCAGACAGAAGTTTCAATAATTTGAAAGTTCTTTTACCTTACATTTAGTCAGTTGCTTTTTTCTTTTCTTTTTTTTTTTTACTTTATAATTTTTCAAGGAATTCACTTACTTGGGTCAGAGAAGAAATGAACATTTTCCTATTTGCAGTTTAAGGTGTCTTCTAATTGAGTGTACAATTTCAAAGATATTGATAAAGATTGGTCACTTTGATTTTGCGAAACAAAGTAACATGTAAAAATTCAGTCTGCAAAAAAAAATCATATTTCATATTTTCAGCTGTTCAAAACAAAATACCATTGTAAAACATAATTCAATGAATAAAAGCACATACAAATAACATATTAGAAAGATTATTTTATTTTTGTTTCAGTCATATGAATATTTTTTAAGATTGGACCAGAAATACACAAGAAATTGTGAGTTGAATGGACGAAGTTGCAAATTTATCAATCTCAAACAAAATCAGATATCAACTGGAAATGCTATCATTACACAAGAAAATGAAAAATACTAAAAAATAAAAAACCGAAAAACCGAATTGAAAACTGTGGTATCAAGGAAAAAAACAGAAACTGATACCAAAACATAAATTGCCAAGCCGACCAACTCTAGAAGATATAGATATGAAGGTAGATAGATATATAGAAAGATCGATATATAGATATGAAAAAAGATAAATACAAAAAAAGATAGATATGAAGAAAGATAGATATATACGAAGAAAGATATACAGATGTGATGATTGTCACAATGAAAATTTCTGTTTTCTTTTTTTTTTTGTTTAATTTCTTTTTAGGCCTATGGTCAAACCTTCATAAAGAATGACCACTTCTTGTCAATGACTGGAGCCTTTGCAAGCATTGCTAATGCCAGTGGCCGTATGCTCTGGGGATTGATTGGTGATAGATTTCCTTTCAAGGTGAGTTTTATATACTAAATTTCATCAAGGCTGGATAGTGGAAATTAAGTTTCAAACTGTAGTTTGTGTTCAAGAACAAAAGAATCTAACTCACCCTCAGTTCTTTTATCCTTGCCACAAACAAGGAAGTAATGTATCTTTGCCCAGCCATCTCTCTAAATTTGGCAATTTCTCTGGTTAGTTATTATTGTAACTTTCTCCTCCTCTTCCACTTGTCTCTAGTCTGTTTCATGGGTTGTCCACCAAAAAAGATGTCAGTCCAATGCAACAACAGAACATCCCCACCACCAAAAAGGCACCTCCCTACTTACTTTTTATGTTGCTTACTTACCTACAATTCATAATGATTCCTTCTATCAGTGGCAAGTATTTATTCTGACCTTGTTAATACATTTCTATTCTTTTCTTTGGGTAAGTGAACCACCCTCGTCCCCTTTGTATTCCATTGATGAGATGTAAGTTCCACTCAAGCAGCTTCTTCCAACAAAGTGCTGCTTTGTGGAACTGACTCCCAAGAGGATGCTTCCCCAATCACTACAATCTTAACCTGTTCAAGTCTAGAGCAAGCCATTATCTTCCCCATATATTTCCATAAACTATGCCTCTTACTCTGTAAGTTTCTACCTCGAGTGGCTCTTAGGCTTGTACATACTGATATGTCCCGGAAAGGGATATATTTGTTCGAAGTAGCAAAGTGGTTTTGGACTACTCTAACCAGGTAGGACAATCTAGCAGATAACCATAATGGACTGGTCCTCGTCATAGTGGTAGGCAATAGGCGAAGACAATAGGTGTCATCAATAAGTGTCGTCATGTACCTCCACATCAGTCTGTATTTATGACTGACACCAGCCAATCATATTACTGTGAGGGGGAGCCCAGGTGTATGCATATTCATTACATCACATACGAAACCCTGAAATTTTGTATAATTTTCACAGTCTGTTAATTATAGTTATGGATGTGTGGGTGGTGTAGTGGATAGTGGCTCAGAATGAGAAATCCGAGAACTGAATACAAAATCCAGTCAACTTCATGTGCAAATACCCTTGGAAAAGGTATGAATCCACCTCTTCTCCTCCCAGCTATGGGTTACATAGTAGGTCTTGTCTTGGGGAAAAATTTGTTATTTTTAGAATAAATTGTTAATGTAATATTATCTCGAAAAAATAAAAAGAATTACTCTTACAATCCCAAATATGTTTTGGTTTTAAATAACCTACAAAGTGTTGATAAACCATAAAATAAATCAATTAATTATAATTCTGCTTGTTCCTCTATCTTTTAATCAGTTAGTTTGTGCATTACTCTCTGCCATTACCTCAGATAAACAATGGCCCATTCCTTTTTGATTGCAAGGAAAGACAGAAGAAAAATATATATCAGAGAGACTGTTTGATTTTTTCTTACTGAGAAAAAGAAAGCATATACACATAACAGAAAGAAAGAGGGGAGCCTAATGCTTTTGTTATAATCAGCATATGATTGCATATGTAACTGTGTGAAAAGATAACAAAATTGTTGATATGTGGTTCTTTAGTTGCCATTGACAAGGGAAGTGATTAAGTGTAAGGATGCTGTTGGTAAAACTGGAAGTTAACTGATTTTGAGGGTTGGTTGGCTGAGGTCACCTGGTGGTGACAAGAGAAGTTTGGAGGGGATTAGTCAAGCTGCATAGTAGCACAAGTGGTGTGTCATTGGTAGGGCTGGTCCATCTACCTTTAAGGTTGAAATTGACACTGGTGAGTTGTGTGGATGGACCACCTATCGTAAGAGGAGGTCAAGGTGTTGAGCCAAAGTGACGGTTTTATATATGTGGTTTAGCAGGTGCTGGCTTCCAGGCAGCAACATTTGTGATTGTATTTTAGATTTTTGCAGGTAGTTTCTTTGTTGACACCTTGGAAAACTACTTTTTTATTTGGGGTTTTGCTTTTTTAGCACTCACATCTGGCTGACATTTTCTAGGGAAATGTAATTGTAAATCAGAAAGAGATCATGGTTAAAACAGAATAACACTTTCATGCCTTTAAAATCTGTTTCAGTGAAATGGAAAACTGAGATAACTCATTTACATATGAAGTCACAAAGACCATGAATAGCTACAACTATTACCTATGAGGCAGTTGAGTGCATACTACTTCCCATGAGTAGGTAACACTACATGACAGAAAACTGTTATCAGTTTCAAATCATTTCATTTGTACCCTCTTGGCTGAGGTCACCTGGTGGTGACAAGAGAAGTTTGGAGTGGATTAGTCAAGCTGCATAGTAGCACAAGTGGTGTGTCGTTGGTAGATCTGGTCTGTCTATCTTCACAGTTAAAATCAACACTGGTGAGTTGTGTGGATGGGCCACTGATTATATAATGAGGTTAAGGTTTTGAGCCAAGCTGCTGGTTTTATATATGTGGTTTATAAGTTGCTGGCTCTCAGGCAGCAATATTCATGATTGGCTATTGTATTTTAGATTTTTGCAGAGATTTACTTTTTAGACAGGATGTGATGCTCAGAGCCCGTGTAGAAGATGATGTTTTTATTTGGGGTTTTCCTTTCTTAATGCTCACATCTGGCTGACATTTTCTAGGGAAATGTAATTGTGAATCAGAAAGACATTATGATTAAAATAGAAGAACACTTTCATGCATTTAAAATCTGCTTCAGTGAAATGGAAAACTGAGGTGACTCATTTACATGTGAAGTCACAATGACTATAAATATTTACAGCTATTACCCATGAAGCAGTTGAGTGCATACTAATTCTCATGAGTAAGTAACACTACACAACAGAAAACTGTTATCAGTTTCAAATCATTTCATTTGTACCCTCTTACTTCTTTAAATATTGACCTACATTCAGATTTATGATGAATTTTCTAATATTTTGTTTAAGTTGTTAAGCTCAGATATTCAACGATGCAATAGGGAAATTTTATTGTAGTAGAAAACACAAGCAGCTTATTCAATGATTAATGTAAGAATTATAATTCATAGAGAAAATTAAAATTGCAAAATCATGAAATTTTTATGGGTATGGCTAATTTAAAGAAACATTAGGTTTTGAAAACTGTCAAAATTCTTGTCCTACTTTAGAAAAAATTATCTAAAGTTTTATCAAAAACAGAACACACTGAAAATTTAATGACTAACTATGGTGTAATTATGAATTTTTTATATACACATATATATATATACCATGAAATGTATCTTTATGCATTAGACATCTGACAGCATTCATATTTCTCTTACTTAAACCCCTTCCACCCACCTCTCCTAAAATTCTCTCTATTAAGGTTTAATCTCCCCCATTCTCTAGTATGTTACCCCTCATACTTACACTCTCTCTAAATTCTGTTTTTATTTCCAGAGTTGTTTTTTTCTGTTTCTTTTTGAATTTGTAGGTCTGATGAATTGGATCGTATTCCAATGGAATAAATTATGACCATGGAATATTAGTGTTTAAGCCTTTTTATTATATCCTTACTCTGTCCTGGACATCGAGTTCTACCTGGATTCTATCCTCTTGGAATTTTTATTCAAAAATATACATGTATGGGTATTTATATATTTTGCATATGTATGTATATTTACCACTAATATTATCTCTCTCTCTCTCTCTCTCTCTCTCTCTATATATATATATATATATATATATATATATATATATATATATGTGTGTGTGTATATATTATTTTTATTTGTTTTTTTTTACAGTAAGGTTCAGTCTTTACAAAGCCCAGGGGCCACTCAAGGTAGAATGTTACAATAGAAGGCAATTTGTGCAGATAGGAATGGAAAATAATGGTTAATCCTAGCCTTCAACAGATTATGATTGTAGTGATCAGGAAAATATTCTCTTGGGAGTTAGTTCCACAGGGCTGCAGTTCATGGGAAGAAGCTGTCTGAGTGGAACTTACTTCTCAGTAATGGAATATGACGAGAATGTGGGTGGTGTGCTACAATGTACATGGCATGGCATGTCCTTGCTGTAGAGGTTTGAATTGGCAGGGCCAGGGAATGTAATTTATCCAAGCACTTTCCATGGAAGTAGCAATAGAGCAGTGAGAGGCTTGCCACATCCCACCTGTGAGAGAGAGGATGAAGGGTGGAGAATAATTTGTCACCCACAAGGGCTTCAAGATGCTTTTTGGACTCAACGCTAGAGAGTGAGATTTGAGCAGCTTCCACCCAAATATGACAACAGTACTCCATTTTTGACCTGATCTGACACTTGTAAAGGTAGAGAATAGCAGGAGGCATCAGCTTTATAAAGCCTTTCCAAAACCTAGAAAATTTCATCAAGTGCTGGTCTGCAAGTTATCCATATAACTGTGATTCTGTGAGCAGTCAAAGAAATAAATTCAAAGCTGTTAAAACAGATGCCTGGGGAATTTGAGCTTTAAAAATCGAGTCAGTTGACACATTTCTGGGTACCTTTGAAGCTGAGTTTCACATCTTCCTTGGTCGGCCTGATGATCCTCCAAACAGGTCTCACCTATGATTTGGGACACTTCTCATAAATCTTATTCCTACAAAGTTATGCAGTTGACTAGATGACAAGCATCTATGAACAGACTGAAATAGATATATATGAAAAGACTTAGATATGAAAAGACTGAGATAGGTAGATAGATATCATCACACATCCCAGTCCCACATCTCTCTTGAGTGGCCTGATGATCCTCCCCACAGGCCTCACCTAAAATTTTGGATGCTTCTCATAAATCTTGTTCCTACAAAGTTATGCAAATGCTAAGATAGATATGAAAAAACTCGGATATATAAATAGATATGAAAAGACTGATAGATATGAATAGAGATAGATAGCTATGAAGAGAGAGGAACAGAGATGATAGATTGATATATACAGCGATAGATATGAACTGAGATAGATAGATATGAACTGAGATAGATAGCATTATCCTTTACTGAATCTTAAATATATGCTCATGATGAATTTATAATTTTTGTTTATTTTTCTTGCAGAAAACCATGTTCAGTTTGTTGCTCATTTTGACCTTTCTGCTTGCTTCCCTGAGTTTCACAGAAAAAGGCGGCAAATTCATGTTCAGTATTTGGATCTTTCTTATCTACTTGACATTTTCAGGAACTTTTGTCCTTCTTCCTGCAATTACACAGAAGACATTTGGAGCTAAACACTACTTAACAAACTATGGTCTGGTGTTCACATCCCATGTAAGTAAAAACAAAAAAAAAATAATTTCATACCTGGATGGTAACATTACTAGCAATGGCAATATTTGCCATTCCTTATAAGGAAACATTCATCATTCATTGACTGAGCAACCTAGTGTCACTGTCAGTTGTAATTTATAAAATTTTTCTCTTAAAACAATTTTTCAGGAAAATAGGTTTCTCAGGTCCTGGATATTATGATAAACTATATCTGGCAACAAGGCCTCTGATTGGAAGATTGGAACTTTTGACAGGTGTGGAATTGCTGTTGTTCTCAGGTTCACCCTGATCTAAGATGGTAGCATATGTTATACTCTCAGCTTTGGGCAAATAGTGAATCCCCCCACAAAGAAAAATCACTATGAAAGTATAAAATACATTTTATAGTAAAAATACCAGCAATAAATTTTTATATAAAAAAAATACCAACAATGCATATTTGTAGTAAAATTACTAACAATATGTGCATACTAACAAATTGTAGGGACTTCAGCCAAATCCATTTAAAATACTACCAAACAACCAAAATGGACTCTTTCATGATATTAATACATATAACATCCTCCAGTCTCTTAAATCTAGCTGTATTCGAAAATATAATTTCAGCAAAACAACATAAAACACACATATCACTCTCTCTGGTAATTATGTTCCCACAAACATGTATATTCACAAAAGCTGAGTATCATCTACCATGTATTCAAATGTGAAAGCAGAATAACATCTATCATATGTTTATTACTTCAAAGATCCCAAGAAAATTAAATTTTACCATTAAATAATACACAGGGGATTGATATACCATTAAACAAACAAAAATAAATTCTCAGGTCCAATAGTTATTTCTCTTTCCAGTATTATTGAGGTTTTCCTTCCTAACCTTTTATTGAAGTAGTATGGAATGTCAACATCTTAATTATATTATCTACTAGCAGTAGAGCCCGGCGTTGCCCGGGAATGTAACAGTAAGAGATAGATCAAGTATCGACCATCATAAAGACTGAAAAATAAAAGTGACAAAGATTATTGTTTAAGGTTGATGGACACGCATGTCTTAATTAGTTTTTTTGTTTTGTTTTGGTTTTTTTTTTTTTACGGATCGGTCAAACCGAAACTCAAACAAAAACATTGTTTTCAATCATTATGAGTCTACCGATTGAATAGAATTTTATTATAAACAATTGTCTTGTAAATGAAATTTTTAAAGCATTCTGAATGTAAAAATAAAGAAAAAAGTGTGCACGGCAATAAGAAACATTACCTGCCAAAAAAAAAAAAAGTGAAGTTTTGTTGAAATTGGTTGAAAAATGTAGGAAATCTGATCCCATATATAAATGAACACACACACACAACCTGGGTTTTATAATAAGTATAACCCGATATGAGTTGTCCCCCTTTCATTCTCGCGACAGCGATGCCTCTTAATTGTGTTTTCAAATTGATTTCGTGCAAAAACAATTGTTTTTCCCATTTTTGGCACTGCCAGAACCACTATAAGGTAATTTTATGTATTCCTGTGAAGTTTTGTTGAAATCGGTTGAAAAATGTAGGAAATACGATCCAATATATAAATGAACAGACACACATGCACACAACTTGGGTTTTATAATAAGTATGATTTTAGTTGTTGCTGCTGTTGAAAGTCCTCAAGTGATGTGGTTTCTGTTATTTGGTACAGTTCTTTGTGGTTCTGTTGTGCCAGTCCACAAAGTTTGAAGAAGAATGAGCTTACGCCCATATAGTGTTGAAACACCGGTTACTGTATGATCATTGAGCCTGGTCAGCACCCAGATGGGTGACTGCTTAGGAATACCAGGTGCTTTAAGCTTAAATATGCAGATGGTCTAATGGATAATGGCTCAGAATTGTTAATCAAAAAGTTGAGTTCCAATTTCAGTTTATGTTCACTTATGGGCAAAATATACGTTAATTAATAAGACTTGTATCACTAAATCATTATCTCCAGAAAAATTCTTACAATCCAAAAATATTTTCCAATAGTCAATAACCAGAAAAGTGTTGACAAGGTATAATCAAATAAATTACAAATCAATAAATTGAAGAAGGATAGTCCTCCCTGAGACCTACAGGTTTCATCTGCTCAAAGCCATGTTTAAGTAAACAGAAAAAGATATGAAGATAGAGAAAGAAAGATGAACTGAGATAGATGTTTGAAGTCTAGGTCAAGCTTGACACAAGGTCACCTATAGCAAACACACACTTTCATTGATTTATTAGATCATTATGCTAATAAATATACAAGTACATTGCTCAGAAATTTAGACCTATGTAATTGATTAACCAGAGTTAGATTGCCCTATGTTTTTATAGGGAATTTTAGAATTTTTCTATTTATATCTAGCCAATTTCATTTAGAGTCTTTTTCTTATTCTTTCCAACACTTTTGTTAGTAAGCATCCCACACTGAGAAAATAAAATATCTATCAAAATTGTGGTCAGTCTTGTTATGGTCGGTGACCAACACATTTAACGTATTGTTTTGTAAAATATCCCTTTTGTGTTCATATAATCTTTTATTCAGATTTCTTGAGGTTTCTCCTATGTATTTTTTGTGACAAAATTCCAAGCATCCCTCATTTGTGCACATGTGTAATCATACCAACATAACAAAATTAATCCAATCAAGTCCTCAAGGACAAAACACGTAACAATTAAACTTTTTCCATTTTTCATACATTTTCCACAATATTGTTCTTGATACATAAAAATATATTTCATTATCTCATATATACATATGCATATGTGTCATGAGTGCTGACTAACTGGTTAAAACACTTGCTTCCTGACCAGGAGATCCAGGTTCCAGGTTCAAATCTCATCATGGTTGATTTGTCATGAAGTTGACTTCTTGATGTTATTAGTCTGGGGAGGCAGTCCCAGCATCTTTGGAATGTGCCTGAAAACCATGACACACATTCACCAAAACCTTGTGAATAAAATTGAGTAGACACAACTGTTTGGAGGCTGTTGATGGTTGTGCTAGCATAAAGTCACAAGTCATCATGACCGAGGTTTTAAGCATTGTCTGGCCTTCTTCTGACTTAATCACACCAGAATATATGGTATTGCCCCAAAACTAATGAAGGACTTTTCAGCATAGTTGCAATATAAACTACAGGTGGGCATTGTGGATGTTGAACAAACACAAATGTGCCTGAGCAGCTGTTTGCAGTAGGGATTGGCTAACCACCCTAGAAACTGGCATACTCAGATATGAGTAAGAAAACTTTTTTCATGTATCTGTGTCTATATGTGCATATTCTTTTTAATTTTTTTTAATTTCAAGAAAGAAGTTTTAACTGTAATTTTTCAAGTTTGTTAATTATTAGGTTGGTGCAAAAATAATGACGTAATAATGTCGTTTTTTGACGTATTTTTTAACATCAAAAAACGACATTTTTACGTCATTATTTTTGCACCAACCTAATAGTTTAATAGATTTTTTATAATTAGACAGCTCTATGAAATTTACACTAATTTTCAAATCATTTTATTGCAATTTGACAACTATTGGGAACACTTTTTATTGTAAACTAAATAAAAGGAAATTTGTTAAAATTTTTCTTAACTATTCCAAAAGATGATGAAAATAATTAAACTGCAACTTGTTTTTTTGTTTAGATTCTCAATGGATCTTTGGGTTCCTATATGACGATTGAGCTCAAGAAAATCCTTGGATGGCATGGGATGTTTTTTCTCTCAGCTGGCATATCATCTATCTGTGAGTGTTTATGATCCTTCACTCTATCCACATTTTTTGAACTAAGACAATTTTTTTTTCTCTGCTCATACAGGACAACTGCCTTATTAGCTTGCATTTAAACTGACCTTTTTCTCTCAGATTTTGTTTTTGAAAAGCAATAAGAAAAGACTACAGCTACAAAAAATATTATAATTTATCAACAAAAATATATTGCTTTTATTTAAATACAGTGTAACCCAGATATAATAGAGTTGTCGAGACCGGAGAAGAAGTCTCTTATATCCGGGTTTCTCTTATATCCGGGTTTGGTCTATTTTATATACATTAACACAGGCTCTAATTTGGGACCAGAGAAAATCTCTTATATCCGGGTTTCTTATATCCGGGTTACACTATGATATTTACTACAATAAGCAAAAATGTAACAACATTCAATTGAAGATTTTAATCAAAAATATAATTAAGTAAAATCTGTGGAGTCATATTCACCATTGTCTGCCTGAATTTCTGGATTGAGAAATTATCATTATTTACACTATTTACATTCAGACTCATTTTTGTTGTTATCACATCGTTTCAGCCATCGTACTCTCTGGCCTTCATCAGGTGCATATTGATCCAGTTAACCTACTGGGAATTCTGAACTGAACATTTTATTTAACCTTTAACATACTGGAGGTGATTTTGCTTGCAAAGCAAAAATTTTATCCTGCCATTGCAAGTAACTTAGATAAATGAATAATAGTGTTAGAATTTTGCAGTTGTGTTGTCATATCCTGCTATGGCAACAGAAGATACCCATGACTGAAATTACATAGAGGAGCCTTGATAAACAATGCAGTAGGAAAAGGAACATAGTGAATAATGCACAGTGTTAAAGGTTTAATCTATGGAGGTAGTTTATTCCATTTCCACAGCCCATGTCTAGAGATATCTCATCTAGTTCTTATGAAGAAGAGACTTGAAGCAACAGTGATGTAGTTCTAAAGAAAGATGCTGAGGATACCATGGACTGAACATGTGAGCAATCATGTGGTTTTAGACAAAATGGAAACAAAATGGAAATTTCTACTTGACATCTGGAAGTAAAATTTGAAATTTCTGGGGCACATAATAGGAAAGGAGGGCTTGGAAATCTGTTACTCACAGGAAAGATTGAGGACAAGGGGAACAGAGACAAGACATAACATATTTGACGAGCCTGAGAAAACGGATGGTGGAACAGGGTTTAGAAATAATGAAAAAAAAAGGGTATATTACACAAGGGGCATAACTCTGTCCCATGAAATACTTAATCATCATTAGTTATTTTTAATAATTTTTTTTTTTAAAGGATTTATGCCAAACAAGGCAGTAAAGTCACTAAAACACAAGCAGTTAATGGGCATGAAAGTAATAGGACAGATTAAAGACAAGAGTGACAGACGAAAACAATGTATAATATACTTAAAGAGCCTGAGAAAAGGGATAGCAGAAATAATAAAAAGACAGAATTTATTTAAAGCTGCAATGGACAAGAAATTATTGAGAGCCGAGATCGACTACATCCTGAGGGGATATGGCACATAAAAACACGATATGTAACACAAGGGGCATAACTCTGTCTCATGAAATGCTTAATCATCATTAGTTATTTTTTAAACGGATTTACCCCCAAACAATGCAGTGAAGACATGTGAAAGAATTGGAACACAGAAACATTAATAAGGAACGATAATAATAGAAGAGTAATCAAGAATAGATAACGATTGACATTGCATTTGAATTTTGGCAGATTGAAAGTTAACTGGAAATCATGAAGCCGGAAGAGAGTTCCACAAGTGAGAAATGCAAGAAAAGAAACTGTTAACTTACATTTGCCTCTTGTCAATTCAATCGTAAATTGATGAGACCATGTCACCAATCTAGTAGTGCACTTAAATTAAAAACTCTACATACCATAGCAAAGAGTTCATCTGAATAATTACCATGATTTCTAGAAAAGGCTAAGGGAAGCAACTTTATGATGGTGTGAAAATGTTTGAAGCTGAGATTCCAGGTCAAATAATATTGAAGAAGAGAGTTGAAGCAACAGCAGTGTGGTTCTACAGAAGGATGCTGAGGATACCATCGTTCGAACATATCAGCAAAAATGAGGTGTTAAAGAAAATGGAAACAAAAAGAAAAGTTATACTTAAAATCTGGTGAGACCTTTATGATGGTGGGATAGTGACTGAAGTTGTGATGCCAGTTCAGGACAAATAATATTGCTGATTCTTTTTAGGATTTTATCAAGAATCTCTAAATATATAGCAGGAGCACTGGACTATATGTGGTAGCAATATTCAAAGCATGGATGAATGGTAGACTTATAGATATGCAAGATAAATTCTGGAGAGAAAAATTGTCTAGCACAACACAGTGAAGCAACTTTCTTAGCAGCTGAGTTAGCAATGGATTCAGTATAGTCTTTCCACTTCATGCCAGCCAAGAATGTTAGTCCAAGAAGGTGCAACAAGTCACTCTCCTGGAGGTTAACATCAGCCATCCTGATGGAAAGCAGGAAGAGGTTTCTTATATAATTAATAGAGAGCAGTTTAGTTTTGGAGACATTAAATTTAACAAGTCATTCTTTGCTCCAGTTAACAACAGACTCTAGCCCATTTTCAACATCAGTTGCCGATTTGACCTTATCAAACTGATGTGACTTACTATCGAAGCAGGAGTAAATGGTTGTGTCATTAGCATAGATACCAAGTTGAGAACTGATGACATTAGGAAGATTGTTAATGAAAATTAAAAACAAAGTAGAACTAACCATAGAGTTCTGGAAAACACCTGCATATATACAAAGAGATCTAGAAGAATTGTTGTTCAGGATAACTTTCATTTCATGACGGAAATTGGTTTTTGTTTTGTGGCTGAGAGATGCACAATTTTAATCTTTCTTATTTGAAAATGCTCTACACTTGATATTATCTTTGCAACCACTTTTGTCTTCTGAATTAAAATAATATTTTAATAAAAATGAAATTAATTGTAGTAATGTAGTATTTTTCTAAACCTACAGAGATTCATTTAAAGGAAAAAATTAATTTCATTAAATTTCTTCAAAACATCTGTTTAAATTCATGAAATTTAAATTATAATTCAATTTTTAATTGCTTTTTTATTGTTTCTTCATAAATATAATCGATAATTTCTTTTTCTTTCTTTTTATAGGCGCCATATTTACTTGCCTTTTCACAGAACTGAAGCCTTCATTAAACAGATTTTCAAAAACGACGACAAGGGATTAATTATCAAGGAAAAACATTGTATTTACTCTCTCTACGAACAGGCAATGATTGCTGATAAAAACATTCTGATCAGAATATTTGAGATTATGGATTCATAAATTTTTATTTTATTTATTTATTTTTTTAATTTTAATTTTAAATATGTTTCTAACCTTTTAAAGCTGGAAATTTCCTCATCAACATATTATGAGCAGAACAAAATACTGGTAAGTTAGGTTTTCAAGACTATGGGAAAGAGTTGTTTCCCTTGATCTGGCTGTTCTCATGAATCTTCCAAGTTTGTATAAAACAAAAGTTTTATTTGTTGATGCTTGCCATAAAAATCCAAGTTTCCAAATACCAAAATATCCGGCAATCTTTAATCTTCATACCTGCAATAAAAAGGTATCAAAAGGATTGTTTTCCCTTGACACCATTGTTATTTTAACTACCTTCAATCCATGGCAATGTTTATTATTGTAAAAAATGATTAGAATTTTAATAAAACCTGAACATATGAAAGTGAATTTATTTTCTTTGTTCTTGAGAATTGACAACAAAAATAATAAACACTATTTATTTATTAGATTGTTTATTTACATTATTTATTATATTGTTTATTGGAACGGTTGGGGAAATATTGGCTAATTGCCAATGGATTTGAACTTTATAAAATGGTAAATAATAATGACATCCTCATAGTTGGTCCGTATATTTTAATCATTTAGTATGTTTATAAATTTATGAATAAAATTCGTTTTCATATTTATTTCTTTATAAATTGTTAAATGATAAACATTGCACTGCATTAGTTTTAAATTAATTGTATTTGTTTTAGAATGTTGTAAATATAAAATTATTCTTGTAAATAAACAAATTAATAGTGTTTAATATTTTGTTGTAAATTCTCAAGATCAAAAAAAAAATGTATAAATTCACTTTCATCATATGTTTAGTTTTTATTACAATTCTAATCATAATTTTTTTGAAAACAATGATTACCGAGGAGTGAATGTAGTTAAAATAATAACAGAGTCAATGGAAAAACCGTCCTTTTGACATACCGTTTTTTTTTTTTTTTTATTTCATTTTTTTTTTTTTTTGCACACATGAACATTAAAGACTTACAAAATTGGCTTTTTTTTTAATATATATATAATATATAGGTCATATTCAATATTTTTCATCTCAAAATTAACATTTTCTCATTTCAATCAAAACAGATTGGTCTCCCTTTACAGACTGTGATATATTTTATTTAAATTGTAAATATCTCATCGAAAGAAATTACTCATGGGAATTTATATTTTAATTATATTTGAGAATTTTAATTTATGGACATATACCAAAAAAAGAAAATGAAGAATATGTCTCCTGAAATTCTTTAAAACATGCAGTCGAATTCATATTTTTTTTCATGTACAGTAAAATTCTATCTTTTTAAATTTATTTTATTATTGTATGTTTCAATCTAATGGAATCAAGTCCGGTTCAATGATTTTCATACCCACCCTCTTCTAATCTCTGTTACAGAAGACCCCCCCCCCCGCCGTGCACTCTACTACATCTCACTTTTCATAAAGTAGTATTCATATAAAATACAAATTTTATCGTTACTTGACTATGTACAATAATGGATCATATCCAGTTTTAGTGAACAAATCAACTAGAAAAACTGAAAATAAATATAATGAACCTAAATACATATCATAATAGATCATTCCATTTTAAATAAATCAATTTTTAAAATCAACTTGTTTTTTGTTTTGTGTTTTTTTTGTTTTGTGTTTTTTTTTGTTTAGTGTTTTTTTTTGTTGTTAAAATGTTGAATAAATTAACGCATTCAATATTATGGATAAAAAATAGTGAATTTTATATTATGTTTTTTGGGACTTATCATGAGCAAAACAAATTCACAGATTTGGATACCCAGCACTCACACATCCCCGAATTAGCTCAGAATCCACAAGAGTTTTTCATCATTTAATAATCAGTCGTGCTTATTTTAATTTGTAATGTCTATAAATGTAGGTAGAAAAAGCAAATGTTGGTAAGATAGCAGGGACCAAAAAGCGCTGCTCGTGCCCCCAATCATGTTCACTGACTTCCCGATCAAGGATAATATGTGCTGGCCCCAGATGGAGTTATTTAAATAAAATAGTAGAGACACACAACAAAAAAAATAAGGGGCCATTTTTTTTGATAAAATTTTGTTAAATTGACTTAATATTTGTGTCTGCAAATTTCAGAGTCCACTTGCGTTGTTATAGTAAGCATTAAAAAAATCCTTGGGCTGTTTGTTGATTTTTTTTTCTACATGATTTTGTCTTGACACAAGGCCCTCCCCCCCCCAGTTATAAGTCGTCTACTACAAAATAAAAATCACCTGCACCTCTTTAGTAGGGCAAAATTTATGAGGATCTGAACAAGAGTCTCGGTTACCATATCCACTCACACAAAATTCTGTAAAATGGACACAAAGTTTGCTCCCGATAATTTAAATATGTGTGCCAGTTTAAATTCAGAACAGAAAAAATATAAACTTAACCCAAATTTCCACAGCAGTCTGTTTCCAATTTAGCAAAATGTATTTTTCTACTCTCAGTGCTTCCACTAGAAAGGCACACGTATTAATTCAAGGTTAGCCTCTTTGTGGTTTAGCTTATCTCACATAAGCTTACACAAGCCATTATCAAAGATGACAATTTCAATAAATCAAACAATGGACAAAACTACAAGACTGCATGAAAATTTTCAAGTAATGACAAACTCGTATATACAAGACGCGGAAGCTTACATTGGATTTAAACATGTATCAATATGATGTTTTCCTTTCGTCTTTCAATGATAATGTGATTAAGCTTATCAGACAATATGAAAGTAACTTACTTAAAATAAATAAACAAAACTTGTCTATATTATTTAATGAAACATGCATTAATATATATATATATATATATATAAAAATTTTGAAAGCTCACTCCAGAAAATGATCAACAATATTTTCCTTCCTAAAAATAGATATTTAAAAATTAGGAAAAATATTTATTAACCAATAGACTTCTGACTTTAGTAAGCCAATTTTTATCTTCTTCAAACCTATTTATTTCTTATAAATATTTGTGACATTAAGTTGGTATTCAGTTTTTCTATAACCCTTTGACCAGATTTGATTGTTGTTGTGAACAAGCTGAATTCTCAAAGCCTTTCATATAATTTATTACTTAACATTTCAAATAACTTCTTACTAGGCTTAGCAATTTTAAAGTCAATTAAGCACACTGGAAACATATGAGCAGCGTTTTGCAAACAAAACATTAGCAGAAGTCATCTTTCCTGTCTGCTGACATGCAGACAAGATAAATACATGGCATTCTGTTTCTTCTATCATACTAACGTGAATCAGTTGTGTTGTAAATAAAGAAAACAAAATATTTTGTTTGATGTTTCACAAAGATCTTTGTAATTTGTTTCTTTCAATGTGGAAGAAAACAAATACTCAATAATAAAATTTATTTAAATTTCTAGAGACACGTTTGAAGATTATTTATTTCTTCGCTTTTCACACTACAAACCTACATTTGTTTTATAATCCTGTACCAGGTCACAACCAATGACCCTGGGGCAAGCAAAAAATGTGATTTTTTGTTGTTTCTACTTAATTAAACAAAAGAAAGCTATTAACAAAAAAATCTTAAATGAACAAATTTCTTCACATTTGTTCTTGTTAGAACTGTTTTTTGTTTTTTTTGTTTTTTTCTGGTGAGATGGTGCACTAGGGATTTTGTTGAATTCCTTTCTGTATCAGACCCAAAGCTCCAACCACAACAGGAACAGTTTTAATTTTTTAGTGCCACATTTTTTTTCTATTTCCATCTCCAGGTTTTTGTATTTGCTTTGTTTTTCAAAAAAAACTTTGCAGAGATGTTTTTGTCACTCAGTACACTGAGTCAGTATGCAATTTTTTTTTTCTATCTTTGATACTTTTTTATTTTATTAAATTCTAGGAATTCTGTAACTTCTTCCATGAGGCAGACTGGCAGAACAAGAACTTTGTATTCCTCTCATTTTGATTTTTGCTATCCGATCAGTTATTAACTGGGGCAAGAAATGGCTTGTAAATTTAATTCTCCAAAACAAAATTGCTTTTATTTAACCACCATAGAGAATCTTTTCTGCTTGCCATCAGCATGGCTGATGCTAGATTCCAGAATAACAATACTCTACCCCTCTTTTTTTCAACTGACGTAAAGTGGAGCAACTAAATTGAATCAATAGCTGTATCTATTGCAAGGAAAGTTAGGTTACTGTGTTCTGCCAGAAAATCTTTCTCATCCAAATCTATCTTGCACATTTACAAATCTACCATTCATCCATGCATTGAATACTGTCACCATATCTGGTCTAGTGCTCCTGCTGTACATCTTAAGGTTTCTTGACCAAATCCAAAGAAAGATCTGTAATGTAATCAATCCTGACTAAACATCTCAACTTCAGTCACTTTTTCAGTGTTGTGATATGGCTTCCTTCAGTCTTTTCTACAAATACTTTCATGGCAACTGCTTTGACAAGCTTTTCTCCCTCATTCCCTGGCTGCATGAATTTAAGCATGCTACTAGACTGGCATCTAGGTCCCACCATTTTACTGTTGAATTAGTTAAATGCAACCACCACTTCTACTCCAACAGTTTCTTTTCTCGCACTTCCCACCTGTGGAACTCCCTTCTGTTTATTTGCTTCCCTGATAACTACAATCTTCATAAATTTAAATGCAACGTCAATCACCATCCTCAGTCTTCTTGAATCCCATTCATCTTTTGTCCTTTCCTCAATCTTCTCTATTCTCAGTCTTCTCTTTCAATTTCACTCCCTGTAAACCTCTGCGTACTGGGGGCATTCCTTCCTTAACTAAGGTGAAATGATTAAAATTTTTTTAAAAATATTAAGCTCAGCATAGTAAATATTACACTTCCAGTTTGAGGCCCTGATCTTGAAGCTATCATGACAGAGTTTTATAAAAC